TTAATTGATTGTTGCACTGACAGCAGAGAGTGTGCGTCTATTTGTAAACAACACTGTCTTTTTTTTTTGGAAACTCTGTATCTGTGTTTTTTTTTTTTTTTTTGTCACAGACATGGTGTCATGTTTTGTATTGTATTGTGAGTGGACTTGTATTTTTGTGAAATTATGTTGATATTTTTTCTATCAGCTATCTAGTACATGTATATACTAGAGCACACCTATACAGAGTTTCTTTCAATTGTAGGATTGGCAGAAATTAAATAAATGTAGAAGATACAGGACAATACTGTTGTTTGTGACGACTACCTTCTCTACCGGTGTGTATTCGATTATTGTCTAGCAACAAGACAATCGTTCATTCTTTGGTACATGTACATGCACTGTATGTGTACTAGAAGAGAACTGGTATTTGTCATTGAATGTCAATACTCGTATCAAAGGTTTACAGTTACACTGAAGGATGGTTAACTGGCTATACAGATACAGAAAGTGTATGTTAGCATCCCAGTGTTAACCCGAACAAAAAGGCATGGCAAAAAATCTTGCTTCAAAAAAGACTTGCACTTGATGCAAGCATGTCTAACCCTCAGTTTTGGGGAAAAATGATGTTAAAATTGGATAAGAAGAATAGAAAAATGTTACTCATGCGTCCTGTGGTTTTCATTTGTGACTATCTGTTTCTCCCCTAGGCTTCCTCCAAGACTAATGTGTCTGCTATCCTGGAGAAGGCTCGAGCAGAAGTCCCCGCCAAGCCCAGTAAGAAGGGGAAGGGGAAAGCCAGCTCTCCTCCGTCAGACGAGGGTAGCGGAGGCAGCGCCGAGACACGCAGACCTAAAACTGCTCCTGCCAAGTCTAAGGTAAGATCTAGGGAAGGGATGTAACTATCAAGTACATGTGTCTGAGTTTGTACTTGATCAGCAGGTGGTTACAAACAAATTAAGGAAAAGTTTTACAGGATGTAAATAGAAAGGATAAGAAGCTAGTACATTTTGTATGCAGTATGTTGGGAATTTAAGTGTTATCTGATGCTAAGTGAGGCGTATGCTAAGTATACTTGTGATATTATTCATTGACTTTTAAGACATATTTACACAGATAGTTTGGGAAAGAAACCCATCATCCATTTGTGTTTATTTAGAATTTTGTGTACCATAAGTGGGAGATATTTTGAACTTATTCCATCTGCTAGAATTAGTTTGTTCTTCATGTGCATCTTCACACATTTAAAACTATTGTAGATACTGAGAATTTTACTTTCTACAGTAACTGCACAATGCTGTAATTCCAATGCTTTCATGGCTGACAAGCTTCACTGTTTAGTTTTCTTGCATACTATAGATCCATTCCTTTGGTTGTTTTTGTTTTGTTTCCAAACTTCTTGCTTTTTTTGCTGGCTTCTCTTCTTGGTTAGAGGGAGGAGGATTCTGGGAGTGCTAAGGAGGTGAAGCAGGCCGAGCCTGCTGCTAAGTCTGGCCGCCCCAAGTCTGGCATTGCTAAAGCAAATGCTAACAAGGTAGAGGGAAAAACCAGACGTACAACGTACCCACAAAATCAGTGTATTGTGATCACAGCTGTGTCTGCATGGCCTGATTTACATGTATCATTGTGATGAGGAATATGGAATCTACGAGTAAATGTTTCTTTCTAGCAGTCTTTCAAAAGTACACATGGAAAGATGAGTTTTTTGCTGTCAAAAGTCAAACAATTCAAGAAAAAACCTTGCTCTTGTGCAATAGTCTGATATTTTGTAAGACTGCTACAAAGAAATATGAAGAGCATGCTGCATACATGTACCCAATCTGCATGACCTTTTAATTTCATTAATTATGTATGACAGGGGACATGATGTCTGCAATTTTTTTAGAGCTACTTATGAAATGTAAAAAAAAACTGATTGGAAATGCATAAAAATTGCTTGTTGCAATTAATTTTAGAATGGATGATTTTCATCAAATGTGTGGCGCTTTGAAGCTCCCTTATTTTGCTATGTGGAAGTCATGTTAATGTTATTTATTTGGCTAAAGTAGTCATAACTGTTTTAAAATCTCATGATGAAAATCACAAAAATCTTCTCAAATTGCTCAAGATACAATATTGAATATAACTTCCGTGCAATTCACAAGAATTTTTGTAACACGTATTAGCTATTTACCAACATAAACACAAGTCAAGATCCTCTGTGACAAATAATCTGAATATTTTCCAAATTTCAACCAACTGTGCAGTTCTGCTTGTGCCCAGAGTTTGAGTCATGTGACTGTTCTTGTTCCCAGGGTGGTATGGCAGGGTCTAAGAAGAAGGGCAGTAACCAGAGCCTGGCTGATGAGGACACAGGACCACCTCTCATCCTCAACAACGAGAAGAAACAGCGGATCAAGGATGAGAAAACTCTCAAGGTATATATACAAAAATGGTCATGTTTTGTATACTGGAGAAAAGTGAATACATGTAAATGAGTTTTAAAAGTGAAATGTCAATTAAGACAGTATAATTTAAACAATGTATTTAGCAACGTCATTGAAGTATCATTTTTGCATATATTTTTAGACTCTTTTTAATTATAACAGGAGGTATTCAGATGTATTCAGAAAAACTGAATTTAAACAGTCTCTTTTTTTTGTAATATGTCTATAGAGAGATCTCTTCTTTTTCCTAAGGCCTAGGAAAAAATGTTGTGTTTCTTATTTGAGTCCTGAAAAAATTAAGGTAGCTCGGTAGGGATTATCTTTTTTTATTCTTCCTTCTTTTTTTTAGACTTTGGCAATCTCTAAGTGATCCAACTGCAATCAAACAAAGTAAAACTTGCATGAGAACACAGTCATTTTCAATGTCTGATAGAAAACTGATATACTATAATAGGAAACACAACATTGTTCCCCCTAGGACTAATGGGAACAGTTCAGATTCAGAATCTACATCGTTTTGTCCGCTCCTTGAAACAGGTGCTGAAGTGGAATTTCAGCAGCCCGGAGTCGGACCACATTGAGCAGCTGCAGAAACAGCTGACCACCTGCGTCAGTAAGACCATCTACACTCAGTTCTTCCACTCCGACTTCAAGCGCCACCTGGCAGCCATGGACACTCTGATTGCGGTGCGTTGTCAGAGATGTTGATACCATGACAAATAAGACTGATGTCATTAGCTAACCAAAATTTATCATGCTGCAGTCATCCCTCAGTAAGACATCTAGAGCCGCATACATGTAGTTCCCGTTAAGAACTTTTAGTCAGCCTGTCCTGGATGGTTCTGCCCTGTTGGCTTCTACATTGTGCAGCTAACAAATAAGTGATGTCATGAGAGAAAGCCTTTTCCACTTCTAAGATATCTGTAAAGTTGTTTTATTTGGAAGTGTGTTTTATTTGAGAAACGTAGTAGAAATTATTTTCTACAAATGTATGTTCTTCCGGCAAGATTCAAAAAGGGGGGTTAACTTTTATATATATTACTGATTAGTCATTCTCAAATATAAGTACCTGTGATTTCATATGCCAGTATTGTAACTCTATCTGGAAGCATCCAGGTATATGTTTTATTTCTGTTCCGACTCAAGGATGAACTGTGATGTCAACACAAAAAAAAATTGGACTGACCAAATTTTCCACTGACCTATTCCAGCTTTAATCCTCCACTACATTAACATTTTGTTAGTCATTATGTCACTATTTGTGTTTGCCCTTTTCTCATGCAGGCTGTGAAGGACCAGAAAGAGGAGACGGTAGCCCAGCTGGACCTGCTGCTGAAGTGGATTACCCTGCGCTTCTTTGACACCAACACGACTGTGAACATGAAGGCGCTGGAGTACCTCACCATCCTGTTTAACACCCTGGCAGAGGACGAGTACAGGCTGCTGGACATTGAGGCCAACTCCTTCTTACCCTACCTGGTCATCAAGGTGAGCATTTTAGTTACTAAGGTGTTGCACATACTGTTGTTCTCAAAATGTTTGTTATAAGGTTTTTATTTTTGCAGAGACATCATGGCACAGATAAATCATGGCACTGGTAATAAATGCCTTGTAGTAGTACTACAGAATTATTTCAACTACTGTAGACTGAAAAACAGCAGCAGGGCTCGAAATACTGGTGCACCCTAAATTGGAGCTGTGCACCCAAACATTTTTGTAACTTTATGTACAATATGGTATGTAAAGATGTTAAATGTACAAAAAAAAACCCAGCATGACATCTAAGTGTCAGAAAAGTAATAAAATTTTAAAATTTGTCACTTTAGGTTATCTTATATAATATGTTGAACCCAAAAAGTTTTCTGTGCACTCAATTTTTTTACGTTGGGTGCACCAGTGCGCCTATATCCGAAAGTGAATTTTGAGCCCTGAGCAGGAAAACCTTACTGCAAAATTATGTTACTGCAAAAATTAATGAATTTCAAGTACATTACAGTACGTACCTGCAACATGTACTCCAAAGATTCTGTTGGTTTTCTAAGTACAAAATGTAACCAGTGTAAAGGATGAATGTTTACATAATGGAAGGACTCTTTAGAATGGGAGCTCTGAGCCAAGCATTTTCTGTCAGGTGATACTGTTTTGTGTTGACTCTGACCACAGGTTGGAGATTCCAAAGACGTGATTCGGCGTGACGTCCGTGCTATCCTGAAGATCATCACCAAGGTGTACCCTGCCAGCAAGATCTTCCCCTTCCTTATGGACGGGGTGCGCTCCAAGAACGCCAAGCAGAGAGCTGGTGAGGTTTTATAATAGAACCTACATTATGTTTAGAAACACACAGGTCTTGCTAGTAAACTTTTATCAGACGATGGATTGACAAAGGAGGCATAATTAACTCATTGCCAGTACAGTAGGGTGATCATCATTAGATTATACACAACTATAAGTTGCAGTTAGAGGTGTAAAGGTGGAATGTGACAGGTCATTAATTAGTGTAATGGCCAACTGCTGCGTGCTTGCGAAGTGGATGTCTTACTCTTACACAGAAGGGCAGTTACACCAGCTATACACTGGCTCTACAGAATGCAGATTCACAAGATCTTGATTCACACACTCTCTGTCCGGTTTGTCTGTCGTTCCCCGACTTCTGAGGGTTAGGAAGGCATATTCAACTCTTGTACAATCTATTGACCTGAAAGACGAAACACAGAATTCGTTTTGCAACTGAAAATGGCAGTCAGAATTATACAGTGTATGTGGTGAAGCACAGTTAATGTTGTTAATAATTAAAGTCCTAAAATATAGTTCTGTTCATTGCCACCATGTTTCTACAGAATGTATAGAGGAGCTGGGCTGTCTGATTGAGGGTTATGGGCTGAACGTGTGCCAGCCCACCTCGGCAAAGGCACTGAAGGAGATAGCCACACAGATCGGAGACAGGGACAACGGTGTACGCAACGCCACGCTCAACACACTGGTGCAGGCCTATGCTATCTGTGGAGAGCAACTCTTCAAATTTGTCGGCAAGGTAGGATTTCTCTTTACCACAGTGCAAGAATTTCAAGCCTTATCCTGAAATAGTTTGTTTCACGTTTCACAAGAAGGCCTGATAAGTTTGGTTTTTAAAGTCAGCATATCCTTCATCAAAGCCATATTTTTGTTCTTTATGATGTAATTGTCAAAATCTCAAGCCATATTTTTGTTCTTTGTTGATGTAATTCACTGACAGTGCACATGTATGTACTCCACCACACAGTCAATTTAGGCCACAGGAAGGCCTGATTAGATTGTGATGATATTTGGTACGCAAGTAGGTTTTAGGAAGATGAAGGTGAAGTTCGATTATGGGCCTCCTGTTATCTGTTCTCGGTACTGCAGCAGAACATAGTTTTTTGTGTCTCACACAAGAGTATTTTGGAGGGATGTCCATTTGAGGCCAAGCTTTAGTTTATGTATCTGTTGTCTGATCCAGCTGACAGAAAAGGACCAGTCTATGTTGGAGGAGAGAATCAAGCGGTCAGGAGTCCTTGCTAAACAGGCGGCAGGCAACAGACCAACCACGGCGCCGCCCAAAATCTCCCCAGGAGGGATGGAGGATGGGCAAGGGGACGTCAAACCTGGCAGTAAAGAGGAAAAGGCAATAAGGTGATAGATCACATCAATATATATACTGAACTTAATTTCTAATACTAATATTAGAAATTGTTTTTGTTAAGCTTTCATCCAGAAGTATGGTAAAAAATCATTTTAAGAAGATGTGACTGTTAGCCTAGTTTGGCAGTTTATCAGTATTTTACACAGAGCCCCCTCCCTTTGACTACCCAATGTACACCCATCATCAGTAACACCCCACAGCACACCCCCTGTCTGTCTCTCACCAGTACTGCATGATGATTCCTCCATTTCCCTCAAAACAGTTCCAAGAATACTGTTTTTTTCTGCGTTTTTCTTATGTTTGTAGACACTAATGTCTATCGTTAAGTATTATTGTTTTTGTGATTTTGGTACTTGCTGAGAAGAGTAGTCCTTCATTTTGCAAAACTTACAAAAACATGCACACAGTGCTGCATGTGACCTAAGATTTACCACATTGATTATGAATGGCAAATAAATCAAGAAGATACATATATTTGAAATCAAATTTTTCAGTCATGGTCTATTTTTCTGTGTTGTAACAAACCTTAGGCAACAGCGATATATATTTTTCCTTTTTTTTCCAAATTTTGTAAATGTATGACATCCCTTCTCAGCTTCCTTTCGAATTTCTGTGACTTAATCTTGGCATGTTGTCTCTCCTCTACTTTACATGCTCTCAGTTTTTACAGGGCATATCTGACGTAAGTTGGTCTACTTCTCTCTAAGTAAAAGCACTAAGCTTCTTTGATAAACACACAGACACACTACACTCCAGAATTTGCATATGTAATATTTATTTGTGCACACTAAGATTGTGTGGCTACAGTAAGACTTGTGTCAATCTTGTCAGATTGTTACTTCTTACCTCAAGTTTATACTTAGACCATAGTGTAGCAGAAAATAGAAGAACTTCTTCAAAATCAGCAATACACATCACAACAGCAAGGACTTAGGTATATTTGTAGTACAGCTGATATCAATTAAGGAAAGAACTCAAATAAAGTATGCACCTCGACTTTGGCGACTGTCAACTTTCTCGATTTTGAGTTTACATAGTCATGAGGGAATTTACAGTAATTGAATGTTAGTTGTTAGCTGGTTGCATCTAGTACATGTGAATCAGCAAGGTGAGTTTGCAGCAAGGTGAGGCAGCAGTCTTCATTCACATTTTTGTCCTGTTGACAGAACTGATACAACTGTTGATATATTCCACCCACAGTCAGCTGAAGCAGCTCCATCGACAGGCCCAGCAGGGCCGCCCGCAGACGGCGCAGTACAAGCGGGAGTTCACGCTGGACCTGGACACCATCGAGGGGGAGGAGGTGACGGTGTCGGAGCCCGTGCTGGTGGACACGGAGAACACGGTCCGCGAGCTGCTGGAGGACCCCGTCAACCTGCCGGAGACCAGGATGCGCCCGCCGTCACCGTCCATGGCCCTGCTGGGGAACACCACCAGCTCATCCTCCGCTGTGGACTACGTCATCTCACAGGTGGCCAGTAGCGAGGTGCTGACCAGTGTGCAGGCGCTGGCACAGCTGGACGCCGTGATCCAGGACGAGGAGAAATACGAGGCCATCACGGATCACGTGGATCAGGTGAGTCTTCTGTCAATCCAGGGCTGCATATGTGCAGGTAAAATTAGAGCTCACAGCCAGTGGAACAGTTCATGTACTATGTTTTATCTATACATGTACAAATGTAGATGTATACATATAGCTACATTTAGACTATAACCACGCATCAAATATGAAAAATATTGCCAATGATTTCTGAGCAGTTTTTAGCATGATCCATACTTCCGAAATTCTGAGTTGTACATGTAAAATTTGTCTGTTGCAGATAATTTAATGCACAGGTAAGAAGAAAAAAATTGAGCCCTGCAGTTATTAGCTGAATGTCTACATGTATGTAGAATATATGTATGCTTCTAGCTAGGTAGAGAGAGCACTACATATTTATGCACAGTACAAAATTGCCAACTTGAAGATACAAAATGTATGTCCTCAAAGATGTAAAATGTTTGGCATGGATATTGAGAGGTCTTCTTCTGTCCCCAGCTCCTGATCGCCACCCTCCTGCAGCTGCGTATGGCCATGAGTAAACACAGCGACAACTACGACTCTCCCGAGGCACAGGACATCATTAAGACTTACAGATGTGTGCTGGCCACTCTTATAGCTGTAAGACATCTTAAATAAACTTCATTGTACTGATACTAAAATCTTAAGCAGAGTGGCCAGATTGTCTTCTGTCAGGACAGTACTTGAGTTGAGTCTGCTCAAGGCCCGATACCTGCCAATGGTGACCACGTCATGTTCGATCGTGTTGATTATTGGTGATAACTAATGAGAAATCTGATGGTGAAACAGTTTGCCTTGACTGCTGGACAATGTTTTGTTTTACGTAAATTGTTCCATGTGCCACCCTCCCCACATGCATTCACCACAGAACTGAAGATGCTTATACAGCATTTGACATTAAAACTTGACTTGGAAACCATTTATGTCTTAGTCATGTTGTGAGGCGACCTTCTTCAAGGAGACCACCTGTCCAAGATGACCGCTTTTCTTCGGTCCCCTGGGCGGTCGCCTTGAACAGGTTTGACTGTATATCACAACCAATGGCATAAATAAAATTATTTAAATAAACAAATAAACAATTGCAAACTTAAACTTACCTGAATTTCCACCCGTTCCCAGCTGTTCCAGACACTGGCGCTGGCCAGCCAGGCGTCCAAGGACGTTCTGCGGGACCTGTTCAGCGTGCTGATCACCCTGCTGCTGGACGAACACCTGCCGCACTACGGGGACGGTCCACAGGTCATCCGCTCTGTCAACGTCCTGGTCGTCAAGGTCATTGAGAAGTCAGACCTCACCAACTGTCTCGGGTAGGTTTCTTGTCTTGGTTTAAATCTTAGCTGTTTTGTCAATTTTATGTATACTAGCATTCATATGTATAGGATAATAAGTTGCAATGCTTTTATGTACAATGTATACTACACGAAAAAGTAGATGTTTTCAGGAACATGAACTAATACCAGGGCTGCTGTGTTTTTTCCCCATAGAGCACTGATCAAGTTACTCCATGGCTGTGTGGCCAGTGAGACCAGCGCACCCAAGTTCACAGACCTCACCATGAAGGTACATTTAGAACTGTTGACCTCTTGGTTTGTTGGCCTCTTTTAGAGTCCATAACCAAGACTGTAAACTATTCAGAATTATAATAATATAATGATGTTTTTTTTTTCAATTTCATGTCTTCATTTTTTTCATATGCCCGGATATGTATTATGTATTTAAGTTGATCTCAGACTTAGAACTTTGAATACCTACGCATTTTAAACCCCAATGCTTCTATCAGTAACTTATTGCAGCAACTTCATTCTTTAACCAGAGATTGTATATAGTGCACTTTTCTTCAACAGTTAGGGTGATAGAAGCATTACTGGTATTCTTACTTGTTCTAAGAACCATTTCAGGTTTCCTTTTGATGTCCAAAGAAAAGTGCTTTGTATGACCTGATGATCTGTCCTTCCCTCTGTAGTGCATCTGGAAGACAACAAAGATGTTTCCCTCTGTGATGTCAGACATGGATATCAACATGGACAAGGTGCTGCTGGACCTGCACAACTTCATGAAGGCCTTCCCCACGGCCACCTGGAAGGACCGGCCCTCTGACATGCCGCTACGCACCATCAAAACTGTCCTGCACCTGCTCGCTATGATCAAGCGCGAAAAGGTGGGACTTCCGCACGCTTGCATTTGTTATACTCGTAGGCTGTGGTATGGTTTTTATGTTTACCGAAGGGAAACATGTTTTTGCTACGTTTCCTCTTCTTCTTCTCCAAACAGTGACCTCTGACCTGGTCAATGACCTAAACTTAGATGCTAAGAATATCCTGTATACTATTATATATTTTGATATGTACAAAAATACCTACAAAAATATTTGGGTGCGTGCACACACAGAAAAGAATTGGGTGCACAGCTCCAAATTTGGGTGCACTAAGGTGCACATGCACCCAGTATTTCAAGCCCTGAACATTGACAAAAATCTTGGGTAAAAATATAAATTTTAAAATGGTAAAAGTGACAATCACTCTCAACCGCATGATTTGTCTAGTTCCGCGAATATGATTGTCCATTTTTCTCAACCTGCAAACTTTTGCTACTTCAAACGTTAAGTGATTCACAGTATATAAACCTTTTAACAATATCATGTATGAAGAATGACATGGACTGTTTCATCCACTGCAGATCTTCAGTCACATGACGCTGATTGACAACCCCCAGGACTCGGAGGTGGAGGGTTACCTGAAGCGGGTCCTCAAGTCCAGTAAAGGGAAATCCTCCACTGGCCAGAACAAGCCCAAACACAACGAGCAGATGAATGGGACAGCAGAGAAGGAGGAGGCGGAGAACATGCCTGAACAGGTGAGAAGTGCCCCCTAGACTGTCACACTAGTATTGCAGTTTGGAGAAGGCAGAGTGCTTTTTCAATAAATTGAAAGCAATTACATACTTAAGATTTGTACCACATAACGACATGCTGATGTGTTACACTGAACTCTTCACTGTTGAACTTGCATCTTTGTTCACTGATCTTACTGTGGATGTTGATCTGTCTGGATTTTCAAGAAATGTTTCCCTCTATTCCAGACTTCGAAGCCAACTCCTCGTAAAATGAATCCGAGAACCAACGACATGTTAGCAGAGATCTTCAAGAAGATTGGGAACAAGGAGAACACGAAAGAGGTAGGTTATTTTGATGCAAACAGTTACTATTTTGTATTTCTGATATTCAGTCCCTCCTTATTCCATGCTGTGCTGGAAGTAACAGTTTTGTCCAATTTCAAGATGAGTTGTGCAGAATTTCTCAAGACCCTGAAGCTTAAAGTGAACAATGAAATGGCACATGCATAGCCTTTGTGCTATCATTAAAAACATCCATTGCAAAATGACTACATTCAGTGTCTCCAACCACGAGGTGTTGCCAAAAAGTACCACTCCTTGTTCCGTGTTATCCCAGGGGCTTGCTGACTTGTACGACTTCAAGAAGAAGCACCCCGAGGCAGACATCACCCCCTTCATGCAGCGGACCTCCCAGTTCTTCCAGAACTACATCGAGCGTGGTCTGAAGAACATCGAGCTGGAGCGGGAGGGGAAGATCCAACCTGGTACTGCTGTCTCTCACACTGGTAGGGACGCTGGTGATGGGCTTCTAGCTAGCATGCTAGAATGTACTGCGCTTGCGTGAAACCCTTTTTTAAAAATGTTTTGCGATGGATTTTTGGTCAATGTTGCATCTAAATCTTTTCCTACATGTTAAACTTATGTATGCGAATATGTCCTTATATGAAACATTCTGCTAGTGCTATGCACAAAACATTACGAGTTTCGCATAGGTGCAGTATGTTCTGCCAACATGCTCTTCTAGCTAACACTAAGTACTAAAGGTTTGGCGGGAATGGGTCAGTTGACAAGCACGTTGGCAGAACTGCGCCTCTCCAAAACCTGGATTTTCCATGGTTTTCATTTGATGTTTGATCAATGTTACATCAGACATTTGCTTGTTGTAGACATTATCTTTTCCGACTCAACATTTGTAAACTATAGACGGGATGTCATCCTGAAATATGCCAATACAACCTTAGTTAAATGAGACGTTTTGCTGAAGTGCAATGCACAATATATTTTGGGATTCGTGCAGGTGCAGTAAGTTATACTGACATGCTTCATTGACCATGTCTAATATAAGCTCTAAAGCATAGCAAACTGACCATGCAACATGATCATCTTTGTTATTCCCCTAGCATCAGTGTAGCAATGTGCTCTGTTCAATTCGTACAGCATACTAGTATGACAAGCATTTCTTCCTGCTTCTAGGTGGTTTGGGTACTAATAGTCTTGGGTTTAAGGAGTTTTGTTGGTGTGTTTCGGTGGGTGTTATGTCCTTTCCTGTGGCTTGCATGCCGTAGTTAGGCTCTGACCCTCGACCCCTCGCTTCCTTCCACAGAGAATCAGTTCCAACAAGGAGACAATCTTCCCCTTGCAGAGTCCTCCGGTAGTCATGACAACCGTGTCTCCATGGAGACCGACCTGGCCACGTCCAAGGTCATCCAGGAGACCATGTCGTCTGCCACCAGCTACCGGGAGAGACTCAAGATCCTACGCCAGCGCTGTGGGCTCGAGAACTCAGCGGTATGATGACACATACATGTACAATGTAGTTGCTGGTCTAGGCCCTTCCAAAGTGCACAGCTTAAAAATTTAGTAGTAGTGATCATGAAGGTTTTTCTCCCTCCAAAAATATATCTGTTAACTATTGTCTTCTTAACAAAATCTGACCATTGACCAAAGTGATTTTCAAAGGCTATTATTTCCTGGATTGATTAAATGTTTTAAGCTGAATCAGGTACTGATATCTATAAGGCAAAAATGCGTCGTTTGTTTCATATTGCAGGCTGGTTTAAGCTATTTAGTGGTAACAAAAAGTAAAAGGACTTCTCACATGATTTGTTTTTGTGCTATATCAAATGCTTCAAGTATAAAATGATGATTAAAAAAATGCTAAGAAATGGCAGTAAACGTCAATATCAGACATATTATATTTTCCTCGTCCAGAATATTTTACGTTTTTCCACCCTGAAATTGCATTGGATGCCTTTAAGGACTTGTTCATCTGCTTTTTGTGCTGATTGTTTGAATGTGTCTGTTACTCCACAGGGTGATGGCCCCCTACCCCATGCTCCCCCTGTTTCCAGTCAACACGTGGACAGATCCAAGACTGCTAAAGACTACCCCGACGTCGTCCCCTCCCCCTCAGAATCCCAGCTGGACCTCCCCCCGTCCATCCTGTCAGGACCCCCCCTGGACGTCCCCCAGCCGGCCAGCATATCTGCAAACGTCGACGACCTGAAACGGCGACTGGAGAGAATAAAGAAGTCACAATCTCATAACACTTAAAACTGTTACAGTAGTAGTCTTACACCTCCCAGAAAAATACACATGAACACTGACTAGGTTTCTGATAAGGGTCACAAGTAGAATATAATGATAGGTAGTTCTATGTTGAAAAGTGTACGTGTGCCAAGTGCAAAGATACCTCGGTTTGCTTATGTATAAAATAACAGCTCTGATCTTCTTGTTTATAGCTCTAGTGCGATTGATTAAAGATTTCACTGTTTGTATTAATTTTGTAGCTCATTTGCAAACAGAAGATAAATACTTATGAATGAAAAGGACATAGAAGGAGCTTTACCAGTGACTATAATTACTTAGAACAACTGATAGGGACAGAGGTTGTATTAATTTAATGTGCTGACTTTTCAAACTATGTAGAAGTCCATAATGTGTAAATCTACAGGATACCTGCAATGGCAAACTTGTTTTACCTGCAAACGTAGTAACTAATTATGATATGACCAAGTGGAAATAATGCTCTGCTAGCTGGTCGTTAATGCAATGGGCAGCAGCACGAAAATTTGTAGGGCAAACTATGCAGTTAAAAGTGGTATAACAAATTTACGTGCATTTGCTTGTGTGTATGTGTGAAAGCCTGCCTGCAATCTCTGTAAATCTACATGTTGTTTTCTATGAAAACACACCAGTCATTTCATGTTCAGATAGCAAAAATGATTGTCTTCCTTGATTTTTTGTTTTCCTTCGCGAGACTTCCATTGCCCAAATAGGCCAGTATTTGTCATGTTTGTTTATTACATTTGTTAAAATTGAAAGATGTATGCAAACACATATGGTGCTTTATTTTGGTAATTTGTGTGTGTGTGTAAAAAAAGTTACATCCTATCTTGTGGTCAGCCATACTAAATTGGTGCATAGACTTACACTGATGATTTTTTTTTCCTCTTTGATGTTTATAAATTAACATTCATAGATAAACAGATTATGCATTTACCTCTGTTGTATCATATCTTGATTCTGTCACTCTACCATTTGTTTTATATGTCCAACTCTGTCCTTTCCTCAAGTTTATGTGTAAGTACCTACTCTCATACGTGACTATGTATTCAAATATACTACTTTTGTATGTTGAGCAACTCTCTCATCTATGGTGCACGATTACATTTTGTATGTTATCAGCTGACGTTTTAAACTTACATCTGTCCTGAAATGTGCATCTGTGTAATAAAGATTATTTCATTTGAAAATGTCTGTTGATATTAATATTTATTCAAGAATCTTAAAGAGTAAGTACACGACTACGGTATGTTTAAAGGCATCCAATGCAATTTTAAGGCAGGAAAACAAAATTTCTGATCTGACTGTCATTCTTTTAATGTAAGTTGAATCAACTCTATCCCATAGCATACTGATATCTGTAAGTCAAAATGCGATGTTGTTGACGGAAAACAGATGCTTGTTTCGTAATGTAGGCTGGTTCTACATGTAGCTATTTATCGGTGGAACCAAAAATAAGGGCCTCCTCGAGTAGCTTGTTTTGGGGTGATTCAAACGCGACAAGTATGAAATAATGACGTAAATGTGCCAAGGAATAGCAGTAAATGTCAACTTGAACTAATATGAGACATTTCCTTATTCAGAGTATATATTTATATGTATATATTGTACTGCCGCCCTGAAATTGCATTGGATGACTTTAAGACAACTACATGTAAGTCCTGAATGAAAATGTAAATGATAAATATTCAATCGGTGAGGGACGTACTTGCTGTCAGCTGTAGAATATTATGGGTAGTCTAAGTGGCCGTTTTTCTGCCCCACTGCACGTTGAATTCCCGTGATGCTTTACTGGCCACGATGCCCAGGGGTGCATGTGAGGGCCTAATGTACTGTTAGCCTCCTGTGCAGGCTCCGGGGCGGGTGGGAATATTGAGACAGCGTTTTGAAGAGTTTTAACGCGTTCTTTTAATAGCCGGCCATCGATCCTACAACCAGCCGCCCAGAGAAAGATTCCGCTGGCGGTTGGTTGTAGGATCGATGGCCGGCTATTAAAGGAACGCGTTTAAAACTCTTCAAAACGCTGAATCAAAATTCCCACCCGCCCCGGAGCCTGCACAGGAGGCTACTGTCCTGTGCTGGTAGCGTGGAGACTGCAGAAACCTGTTGGACAACTCCGGTGATCATCGCATTAGACCCCTGACGCGGTAAAAAAGGGACTGATCCACTCTTAAAACAGTTAGCTCTTAATTTTTACAATGCGCAATACCACAGCTAGTTCGCATGTAACCTTTCTATAAGAATTTACAGAAAATAAGTGGTGCGTGCGAAAGTGTCGATTTGAACCGTTAAGGTGTAGTTTGGAGATTATACTAGAAAGGAAGGTGGCGCAAAAATAAATATCCCCCCATGATTTGATTTTTTGGAACGTGCGAAAAGCGAGGTTGCTTGAGGCCTTTCACTTTTTAATTGTCACACTTTTCGGATTTCTTACAGAAACAACATGGAGAAATTTGACGGTAAGGAGCCTTCATTATCACTTTTCTGACATAAGTCTCCTCTTGGATGAACTTACAGGTGTGTAAATTCTTTATTCCAGAAAACATTTTCATTCTACATTCGACAGTTTTTGTACTAGATGCACTATCCTCTGTCACCATTGTAAAGGTATGAGGTAGGGGGAGGGGCACATCTTTGTCTACAAAATAAAAGTTCTATATCGTATTTCTTGGGGAAATAGAAGAAACACAGCCACAAAACAGACTTAGCAGATTTTGGTTTGTAGCTTCCAAGTTACATCAGGTGAATTCTGGCAGTGTAAACTAGCGCTGCACAGATTTAGTCTAGTTCAAATGACCTTCACTATTACTGTGATGCTACCGATTATTCTGTACAGACTCTTACATGTAAATATCATACTAGTACCTCTGCAAAAAGTAATGATAGAAATGTTTATTATCATTCTACCTAAATGCAAACTACTTTGAATGATTTCAAATGTTTCAGACGCACGGCTTGTACCTGCAGTTATGCTACCAGGGTCATCGTGTGTAAAAACATTTCACAATTCGAATACCAGTACTAAGTACTTGTTCAAGATACAATGAGATAAGTAAGTAGTGGGTCCTCAAGAGAAATCATTTGGATGCAAAAGATCCGTTCTGCCATTTTCGTATCACACACGAAATGGTTTTTTACTTGTCCGCCATCCTTTTCTCCAAACCACGATTCAAACAGATCTTGTTAAACTGCACTAAACAAGTCATATTATTAAGATTACCTATAAGCTGTCCCCAAAACAAAGTTAGAGATTAGTATGGGTTCTTATGCGCTTTAAATTCGTCATTCATTGCATATTGCAACTGCCATTATAACACAATTATCTATAAACTGTCGTGAACAACATGTGCAGTCATACATGGCAGTCTTTCCATGTATGTGGTACAGCCGTGTATTACCCAGAATCTTTTGTGGAAGGAAAACAACTATGGTATTGATGAGTGAGCTTGGCAAAACTTATCAAACGATCGCCACTAATGTTAACTCGTCCCTTGTATACAAATTTGTTGTTGTCGTTTTGAAGTGTTGTGGTGTGATATAATGTTCTGAAGACTCCTCCCCGGCTATAAGAGTCATGTAACATTCTATGATTTGATAAAAGAAAATATATGTAACTGCCTTTTTATCATCATGCCCCATATGCATGCTTTTGAATACATTTAGTAATGTCACAAAGGCTGTGATATGACATTACAATGGCACAATTCATTGTTTGACTAAGGTTCAACCAACCAAGCACCATCATCTAGCATCTTTGATGCAGAAGAATAGAGTCTCTAGAGGGCCATTAAGTTATCAATACTAGTGTTGAAGCCGGTATAACTACTTTTCTGTTATCTACCACAAAGGCTCGTGTTGGCTTATCTATTTGGTGAAGGTGTGAAAGAAGATTGAGACCTTCAAGATGGTGCTTATATCTACCAAGGAACGGCAGTTGAAGATGAAATATAATGTTCATCTGATTTACTTCGTAAAAACCAACGTAAACAAAATGTTTGCATACTTATCGTTGTTGTTATGATGCAAAGAAATGTGTTTTGTCAGACATATTGCTCTGTGTATATAAATCGAGGTATTTGAATTGCCCTAGGCTATCCGCCATTTTCTCGGGTTAAGAATGTTGAACGGCTCAGCACAATACTGGCCGCCTGACTGGTTCTGATTCCTCTCCCTCATTGTTCTCGTGCACAACGTACGACCCCCTCCCCTCACCTGGCTCTGGCCAAAACACCTGGTCAACACATTCGACAGTGGCCGTTATACGAGCATGTATATTTTCATATCATAGTATTTTCAAACAGTCTGTGAAAGAATCAATCACCGACAAGGATCTACCACAACCTTTTCCGTGACAAATTCGGTGGACAGCTGATTTTTTTACGATCCTAAGGCCCTCAGTTTGCGATTGTGCCACGATCGCACGACAAATGTGACCGGGTCTTAACTGAAAACGGATGTTTTTAGGCCGGGAGCCTATACAACAATACTATAATGTTATGGTGATGTTTTAGCACAATTACAGGTCTTTGAACAATTGACCTGCAATTCTGGATATCTCTGAGGCCGCTTATAGACAGACAGTCAGATTCACGGTTCGTCTAGTTTCTAGTTTAAGAACCGTTAAGCTAAAGTCATTGTGCAATGAAGACACATTGAAATTGCAAAACAAAAGATTATCTTTCACACTATAAAAGGGATATATCATATTTTCGATTGAACTAATTGTTCATTACATAGAGAGAACTTTATTGACACAACAAAAAGTACAGCGACTTTTGTAAGGTCAAAGACATGTAGATATACAGACAATTTTACATGGGTACAACGAAAATATCCTACGTACAGAACAATAGGCGAGTCAACTAAGACTACTTGTTCTAAGGTCTAAACATTCTTTGATATATTTACCTATTTGTACACAGTAAGGGTTCTTGCCTTCTAGGATGAACTTAAATTTATCTATAGCATGAAATGTAACAAATTCTGTTGAGCAGGCGGAGAGAAGGTTGAACAGCCTTGTCCGTTTATCGTTATATAGTGTACAATTCAAAATAAAATGTTGTTCGTCTTCAATATCATTGGGACAGAATGGACAAAACCTCTGGTCGCGAGGGATTTTTTTAAATCTTCCTAATTCTATATTCAATTTATGGCTAGAAATTCTCATCTTTGTAATACACGATGGAAGTAGAACCCCCATATACATGATTATACAAAAACGCATCATTTGTAGTATACATGTATATGTGAAATTGATTTTGCTATCAGAGTCCAAGACTAATGATCTAAATTTTCAGCCGGATGATCCGAGTACGGGCGCCTCCCAGGTAGTGTGTAGCGGGTCGTGATGGGTCTGGTGGCGGACGCGTGGCGCAGGGTGCCCCGCCGGTTCTCCGTGCTGGGGCTGATGATCCTGGCGCTCATCGCGCACGGCGGGCTGCAACCCAACTTCCAGGTGGCCGTGGTCAAGGTAGTCAAGTCAGCTTTGCTGAAGGTAAGTCACGGAATCGAATTTTTTTTCTCATCACATTGTTCTTTTGATGCTTTATTCACTCATTCGTTCCTTCTAGCTCTGTGCATGTATTGCTTTTCAAGTGCGACTTTTATACATTCAGTTGTTCATTGTCCATGCACTAGCATACAGGTATACTAGTGCTTGGATTGTATTTGTAAAACTTCGTTAACACATACAAAATCAAGCACTACGCAATGCTACTATCTAAGTCATTGTGTCCAAATACGAACAAAAGCAATATTTATTGAAAACTTTGTCTAGTACCAGCATCATTGATCACAAATACTAGTAAGTGCAGAAATTCATTTTTTTGCTGGACATACGTATACACTATTTCCTAACCTAACAAATTGTGCCATTGACAAGTAGTTGGAAGACGCAATCTAGTTGAAGTTTTCCGAGCGAAACGTGTGATAACTAGCTCCTATGAGCTTTTCTATGTGTTTCAAGCTTAGGCCACACCAAGTAATTTTTATGGATGACATTCGCGCGCACATTGATTTTGAAGAAAAAAAGAAATTCCGCTTCTTGTAGCTATGACAAAAAGTCATGACAGCGGGATAAGGGAAGGTGTGATGAAAGGAAAGAAACAGGACAGGAAGACAACTGCTTTTCCGCTGATTTATTGCTGTTTTCATGACGAATAAAAGACTTGTTTGTTGTTTTATTGTGTTCTCTCATGCAACTGGTGCCCTAATATTTGTCGTCCCCTAGTATATTTCAAATCTAGGCATCTTGCTTTTTTTTGCCCCTTTTTCGCGCTCTCGCATTACATTTAGGGTCTCCCGTGACGACGTCATCCATAAAATTACTTGGTGTGGCCTTGCCATATTTTCTATCACTCCCCGAGGGCCATCTTACCAGAGTTATGTGCAGTATGACCTTGCCTTCAGGTGGTTGACCCAGAGTTAGGTCCTTTTGTGTCTACGTCAAACGACATGAAAAACAAGATGGCTGCCAGCCCCTCCACTACGGTTACGTAGCTTATGCTTGATTAACCAAGTGGTGAAGAAGACTTTCTTTGTTTGTTTGTCTGGATCTCAGATAGGGTTCATTCATCTGTGCTGATGGGATTATTTAAGCCGTCTTGAACAGTTTTTGCATATCATCAACAATACATCTTGTCAAATGATTAAAGTCACCCACCGAAAATAATTATGGTACCCCACCGAAAAAAATTAAAGTCACCCACCGAAAATAATTATAGCAACCCAAGTGTAAAGTTATTGATCTATTTTACCTCAGTTGCCGCCCTTTAGGCCATTCCTTCACATTGCTCTGTAGATTTGGCTTATAGTAACAATTAGAAAAGAAAAAGCGCGTAACAAACCAGTTTGTGCACTGTTGCACAGCATTGAAGTGTCTAGAAATGCAGAGTAGTGCAGCTGCATGCATACAACAAACGTAACGTTATCATCATAATTCAGTCTTAGGACTGCAAGTGTGATATATGCGTAAGAAATGTCAAATAAACCAGTCATACTTTGATACAGGACCAACCAGCTGACCAGGGAGCGCCTGCGGAGTCCAGGGTGGAGCAGCCCGACTGTCAGTGTCAAACAAGTGGGCGGGGCTTACCCTACACCCTGACGTCACGGGGCGGAGTCACACTCACACTAACCGACAGCGATATCGACAGACTTCGGACGTTTCTGAGAAAAAACCTGATCTTCGACAACCCGAGCCCAGAGGTCGAGCAATCACACAGCGACAGGGGAACAGCACAAAGTTTAGGCATGCCAATTTCCAAACAAAAACACGTGGAATTCTTGAAACATTTCCTAGAAAATGAGCTTCCACACGATGAATCATTACGTAATGTCCCTCTAATATCCACTAAAAAGTATTTATCAAACTCAGTAAAAGATGTCAGCAACATAAAGCTAAAAGATACCGGAGCAACTGCACAAGACAAGCCAGATTCTGATGTCCGTCTCATTGAGGTCTTTCTTGGGGAGGAGATAGTGGGGAGCAGTAGTGAAGAAGAAGACCCTGATGACATCCCCCCTGACCTCCCCCTTCCAGAAAAGAAAGGGCTGACGCCAGAAAAACACATGCGTTTCTTAGAAGCCTTCCTCAGAGAGGAACTTCTGAATCAAAATGTTGAAGCCAGCTTGGTGGTGGAACAATCTCAACGCGAGTGGAACCCAGTAAAGAACGTAGACGAATGGCGGCCTCAGCCCGTCAACAGACAGTGGTACATGTCCTTTCTCAGGAATTTCCTTTCTATTGAAATGGAACCTGAGCACAGTAGAGCAAAACGTGAGACAGTAGTAGAACGTGAGACAGAAGTCAAAGATTCAAAATATGACAAGCTGTCAAGCCTTTCTTCAGAAATTCAACAAGCCCTCTCGAAGGAAAAACACGACGCGCTACCCAAAGTTCCAGATTTGCAGGATGAAGCAGCGGAGATAGACATAGATTACGAGAAGATCATGGCGGAGGCCATGGCCATGTTCATCCCCGGACTGAACCAGACAGAGGAGGGAGACGACAAGCGCGGACTGGGACAGATGATGGCGGTAAGTCTGTGGACTCCGTCCCCCAATTCAATAAACGACACCGTAAGCTTTGCAGCAAATTCCACATCGTTTCTATAGTTACATGCAAGATCACAAAACGTTGTTGCTGTTCAATGGCATATCAAATATCGGTTTTAAGACACTGAAATTGCGTTCAAATGTACAAGATGTCTCTGTTTATCATAGTTGTGTGGGGTGAACATTCAGTAGGCTACAAGTAGGCTTTTGTGTCCGTCCGAGGGCGACCTACTACTCATTGACTCAGTTGAAGTTTTATCGATAATGGACAGTGTTCAAAATGATCCACACGGATGTATATATGGAAAACAGGGTTTACATGGGGAAAACAGGGTTTATATAGGGAAAACAGGGTTTAGAACATGTTTCTTTGCTTGTCTGTCCCCAGGCCACCACCATGTCCCCAGCGGGAATGGCGTTCAGTACTCACATCTTCTTCCTGGCCGGAGCCACGCTGACGTCATTCACCGGCGGGATGATGTCAGCCGTCTTCTCACCAGTCAGGTAAGGACACTGTTTCACAGGCACTGAAAACAAAAACGTCACTAGTTTTTAATTTATAGCATCTATTTATGAAGATTTACCACATTTATCGATTGATTGACGTAAGAGGTGACTATAACCTCTTCACGACGTCAACTCCGAGACAGACTGTAAGGTTTGAACCACTCGGGTAGGGCCCCTCGATAAGCATTCTAACGTCATGCCCGTAGCCAGGATTTTGAATGTGGGGCGGGGGGGGGGGTTCGTTCCCACTGTCTGAGCGACCAGCTAAAGCCGTAGGCGCGAGGTTCATAGAGAGGTCCAGGGGACCTTCTGAAATGGCATTTCCTGCGTTTTGAGAGGATTTCAAAGGAAATATCAGACATAACTTTTTATTCATTGACGAACAGTATTTCTATGATTCCAGCCCCGCTGGTGATACGAATCGGTCGATCTTTTGGAGAAAAATCTTGGACCTTTATAAGGTGAAAAGTGGACCTTTGAGCCTTGTGGGAGGGTTCTTCCGAAGCTCTCCTCCCCCCCCCCCGGCTACGGGCACGAACGTTCAATTATTTTAACTTGATAAACAAGTCACTGAGAAAGAATCTTTAAGAGGACCTCGAGTTTCGAAGACATTCATAACTATTTTCTTGATGTTTGTACTGTCTCCTAGGCTGCTGGGCGGGACGATATTCGCGGCGTCTATTATCCACATGGTGACGCCGCTAGCCCTGAGCTGTAGGATGGACTACATCGAGTGTGCACTACGGCTTCTGCAGGGCGGCATGGCGGTAAGTCTCAAACCAAGGAAAATATAGCTCTTGCTGTTAAATATAGCTGTTGCTGTTAAAGACAGCTTCAGCTTATGTGCCATCCACGTTCTTTGTGTTTGAAGTGTACAATACATTTCCTCTTTAGAGTGATTTGCGCATCACCATCTTTAGATCACATACCATCATCGACGATAAAGTTATATCGCTCTATTGAAGTGCATTCGAATTTTAAATGCCACCTGTCCTTGTGGGCTTAGCACGCACGTGAAGATTCCGAATAAGTTTCCACGCTCAACAAATCGTGACAACTGTGAAGACAGGTGAGTGAGTGAAGACAGGTGCAGGTCATACAGCATTATCGGCTTAATCGGACTCTTAGGCAATAAAGAAGGTCTCGATGTTGTTAAAGCCGGAGATTTCAAAAACAGCTTTACCTTCGCTATAAATAAGCAGCTCTCAGCATTGCTCAAAAGTGATCTGCTCAATCGGGAGACTCGGACGGACAGAGAATATCGACACAGAACTCCTCCATCAGTAGTCATCACTTTGGTCAACAACGACTGATCACCAGCAAATCTAGTGAACATGTTCAATATCAGCTCGGACCATCTACTGTTCAGCAACATCTCGGACCCTCTACGGCTCGACAACATCTCGGACCCTCTACGGTTCGACAACATCTCGGACCCTCTACGGTTCAACAACTCGGACCCTCTACGGTTCGACAACATCTCGGACCCTCTACGGTTCGACAACATCTCGGACCCTCTACGGTTCGACAACAACTCGGACCCTCTACGGTTCGACAGCTCGGACCCTCTACGGTTCAACAGTTCGGACCCTCTATGGTTCGATAACAGCGTCGACAATCTACGGTTCAACAACAGCTCGGACCCTCTACAGTTCGACAACAACTCGGACGCTTTACGGTTTGACAGCATGCTTCAGTGCTACTATTGGCACCTCCGCCATACAAATATGTCCTACCGCCAGGCCAGTTCGGCTTGCCCTTCGTACGACTCCCTGATAGGTAGTAACGGGTGGCCCGTGTATTTGTTCGGAGTCATGGGGGTCTTTATCATATTAGCTAATCTTATGGTCCTTTTCGGCATCATCGGAACACGAAAGCTCCACAAAGCCTTGTATCTGTACATCGCGAACCTCGCGATATCCGACCTGCTGCCTGGAGTTCTCCTCATTTGTTTAGCTTTTGGCCAGTTAGGTCAATATGGAGTGATTGCAATGTTGCACTTCTACACTTGCATGTTATTTACCCAGATAATGTCGGCATCAGCTCTATCTTTGTTATCTATAGATTGTTACATAGCTGTGAAGCACCCTATTTTCTTCCACAACAACGCTCCTAGGGCCAAGCGGAATGCTTGTGTAGCAATAGTATGTTCGTGGATCGTCCTGACGCTGTGTGTCTTTTCATCTTCTATGGGCTGGAATTGTATATATGATCGCTCCATCGCCGTAGTAAACTGCATTGCTGTAGTTCCATTGGGCTATACAGTTTTCTTAGCTTCCATAATTGTATTCCTTTGTTTCGTCTTGATGTTCACAAACATCAGCGTTTTTGTACGCATCAAACGACGCCGAAAAACAAGACTGCGACAGTTCAGAGGAGGTGTACGTAGGACCCGGTGGGCGGAAACTAGAGAAAATCAGGGCAGGACTGGGGAAAGCGAAGGCCGCGATGCACAGGACAAAGCTCAGCGGAAATTGGACTCCAGTGCAAGAAAGGCAAGAACTGTGATGATCCTTGTGACGTTGGCGTTGGTCTTCTGGGTGTTGGGTTTTGCAGCTCTGCCGTTTGGCCGAGTCTGCTTCAGTAACAGACATGTATGCTCACCTGTGACATTTTCGAGTTTGGTGCTTTTACTTATGGTGTTAAACTCGGCGCTCAACCCATTGGCAAACATAATTCGCATGGCGGACTTGAGAAATGCAATCTGGCAACAGCTCACTGGTCCTTACCGTGGATGCCTGAACTGTTTTCGTAGACTTGGCCGGGAACAAACAGAACAGGAACAGAATGGACCAGGCGACGGTCAACATTAGTTTGGACAGAAACACAGCTATAAAGGACTAGACTGTATGCGTCCAGTGTGCTTCAGGAAATTGTGTGTAATACGACGCAGTAGTAGAGCACGAGTCTTGAGATCTTTCAGTAGACGCCATGCTAGCCACAAAGGCAAGCGAAGCAACGTTGCAGACATGGTCATGGACTTGAACAAGTGAGAAACTTGCCTTTCAGTAATTAATTGATTGCCTGTTCCATACTACAGAAGTCTTTTAATAGTCATTAAAGTCTGTCTTCGGAGGAATAGATCCCAATCGTACCTGCGTAACCAGCGTTTTATGCATTTAATGTGCAATGTAATGTGTAATGTGTTAATGTATAATGTGCAACAAAATGTATGGGAAATATAGTGAAATTTTCGGTTAATTCATCTTGTCCTCCTTGCTTTTTTTGCCGTCCTGTTTAAAATGTCTAAAGTACCTACATCGTAAGGATTGAGTTAGTTTCTCCCTGGTCAGGGTACACTAAGTGGATATACGTAATACCCAAAAAGTATAAATTACAATCCTTAAAAAATGCATAACTTGTTTGGATACAGGTCCGGACTTGTACTTAAACCCGTATACCTGTACCTATCACAAATATGGCGCGGTATGGCGAGTATGGCCTGCCTGCTGTTATCTAGCTAAACCTATAGGAAAGAGGAATATTGTGACACTAATGACAGAAACACAGTCAATTGTATATTATTTTTTTTGTGACTAGCCCAGCTTGCCAGCTGCCGTTGCTTGTTTAATCCTCTTAACGGAAGTCAGGTAGAGCTTTAAAGAGCCAGATTTCAAACCCACCTGCAGCTTAGACAGTGTTATCTAGTACGTCTTTTGTGTTGAAAGTACACCACATTTCCTCTTTCAAGAGTTTTGCGCATCACCATCATTCACACAAAACACCTGTCGTAATTAGTATTCAAGTTAAAAGTTAAAAAATGGAAGAATTAAGTGCTTAAAAAACAGCGATTTCAGAGGTAGTTCAAGATCATATGGCATTATCTACTTTAAGTGCATTATAACGCTCATTTGAAGTGTATTCAGACGTAAGCTGTCACCTGCCCCTGTATGCTTATCAAGCATGTCGAGGTCGTGTGGCGTAGCGGCAGAGTGCGCGACTCGGAATTGAGACTCCCGGGTTCGAGTCCTGACATGCCACCGACCTTGTGCCCTTGGGAAAGGCACTTTACACGACTTTCCTCACTTAGCTCAGGTGTAAATGAGTATTATCCTTTCATGTATGTTGTGTCAATAAAGAATCTGTATTGTCCCCTGTGTTGGTGGCGGCATTAATATAAGTTGAAAAAAACTTGTGTGTCGTCACCACGTCTGGTGATTACATGTTGGAATTAAAAAAAAAGCATACTAGTATGAAGATTCCAAGTAAGTCCCGACGATCGTAAACTCGTGACAACTTTGAGAGCAAGTGGAGCTCATACAGCATTATCGGCTTAATCCGACTTGTAGTAAATAGGAAAAGTCTTAATGTCGATAATACCAGAGCTTTAAAAGACAGCTGCACCTTCGCTATCAATGTGTAGCTCTCAGCTTGGCTCAGAAGAGATCTGCTGTATGTGTGGGGTCGTGTGGCTTATAGCGGCTGAATGCTCGACTCGGAACCAGAGGTCCCGGGTTCGAATCATGCCACCGATCTTGTTCCCTTGGGAAAGGCACTTTTAACACTTTTAAAACACGACTTTCCTCACTTCGCTCAGGTGAAAATGAGTATTGTATTGTTCCCCTGTGTTGGTGGCGGCATTGATATAAGTTGAAAAAAATTGCGCGTACCGTCACCACGTCTTGTGACTACATCTTGCAATAATAAAAAATATCTGCTCGATCGGGAGTTTAATTTAAGGGCACTTTGAAAATATGTTGCTCCTTTCTGGACTTATCTGCTTTAAAATATTTCACCAGACACTGCAGTTCCAGAACAAGCTGCTAGGGGGACAAACCCACACCCTTACTAGTATTCCTGACAGGATAAGCTATCTGTCACCAAAATTCCAAGACCATAGTATGTCCAGGACAAAAGATACAACATCAGGATGTTCTGCTGCAGTACCAAGGTCAGCCACCAGGAGGCCCATATTTGACCTTTGTCGTCCAACGACCTACCAACATACCAAATATCATCACAATCTATAAAGGCGTTCTAAAGTCATGCTGACTACAAATGTGCGGAAACACACACACACAGATACACCAAAAACAATACCTCCATTTTTCATGGAGGTGACAACAACAACAGAAGATTATGGGGAAGAATGGTGCGAATTTATTTTATTTTTTTTTATTTTAGGGTCTAATCGAGCCGGCGACGTACGGCGTGATGTCCCACTGGGCGGCTAAGAACGAGAGGAGCACGGTGGTGTCACTGATCACCGCCAGTCTGACGTCAGCACACACCATCGGCATGCTGGAGTCAGTGGCGCTGTACGAGGCCATCGGCTGGTTCTACTCCTTCTACGTCATCGGTTAGTGCGCACAGAAATTATTACGTAGTCGTCTGATGTCCTTCCACGTCATAGGTTAGTGGGTACACAAATGGTTACGTAGTCGCCTGATGTCTTCCAGTCTTCCTCAGGAGTTAGTGGTGTTGATAGCCATAGATGACCACAAGATAATAATGTGTCCTGACTAGAGTTTTGTGTGCAAAAGTGATGCAATTCTTCACCACAAGTAACCGGTAATAAAACCGCTATTAGAAACTCCCCGTTAGAAAGAGCTCATATATTCAATACAAAATATTGTTCATTTGATTCCAGTCTTATTAGCATTAGCCCAATTCATTGCAAGTCACATAGGTGACTTGCAATGTAAATTGTTGCCTTTGATTCTAACCACCCACAATAATCATAAAAGACTGAATCGGAACTTTCGCTACATTGTATACGATGTAACGTTACCCTGTACGCGTTTTTCTACAACACAAATCACATAATTATATATCGCACACCGTTAGGAGGTACCGGGGCTCTACTTGCTCTGCTGTTCTTCTTCGCCTCGCCGAGTACTCCCGAAGACGACCCGAAGATGAGCGTGGACGAGCTGATCCACGTGACCAAGGGGAAGGACAAGGGTATCTCTCCCTATACCGGTGATGACAAAGACGACGACGGAGCGAAAGGTGACGACGATCCGGGGAAGAAGGAAGGTGGCGCAGTGAAACCTGCGGATGACGCAGTGAAACCTGCGGATGACGGTGCAAAACCTGCGGATGACGGAGCTGCTCCAACTAAACCTTTGGTAAACTTAAAATTTCCAGTCTTAACTTGTTTGTTGAGTTGCGACGTAGCGATGATATTTTTAGGCAATCACTTTTTTTGTTGTTGATCTGTTGGCAAAATCTTCATTTTATTACTTTTCTTTGATTATATGCGAATAAACAAGCAAACAAGCGTGTATGGATCATAAGTCAAGAAATGCTGCCGGCGATAGTCAACTGATCGACGCTCACATGTATTCGAAAATCCATTTTCGTATTGCAGTCTTCATTTCCCATTCATCCAGTCGTCAACAAAATGTCATGTTTAATACTGTCGTATCTTATCATGTCGTGGTCTCTTTTATTGGGTTTAGATGAGATAATTACTATTAGGATACTCCAAGTGATCTCACCCTTCTAACGTTGTGCCGGTTCGTGGTGTATATCGTGCATGATTGTACCAGCTAGATCATCATACTTTTGAATTTGGTGATGGAAGACTGGAAGTTTTTTATCGAAATGTCTTGTCTAAAACATGGGGTGGAAGTATTAACATCTAACACCTTTTCCGGTGACAGAAACCCGTGTGTAGAGCGTTCACTCACACCACCTCGACTGTAAGCCAGGCGAACAGCTCGGACACGTCAACAATAACAAGTTTTTCGTCACGAAACAAACCGTCCACACAGCCCGCAGCAGACGGCGGAGACAAGCCGACGGATTCAGCCGAACAGCCGAAGAGTGCCGATTCCACTCCGAAGAGCCCGACGGAGGCCGTGGCGAGGCCGAGATCGTACTCGTCGTCCTCCGAGTCCTGGTCGTCAGAGAAGTTCAAACCGTGGTCAGATCCGGACATGCGGGAAAGGGTAGGTGGACAGAAGAGCGGCTTCAGTATTTTATGGCCAAGAAAATTTCTCATTTACTTTCTATCTTTTGGGTATATTTATTGAAACATTTTTGGAGACGCCACAGGGGCAAGCCTAATGGATTAGTACTGTGTTCAGAGGTATGTTTGTGTTTTACCATGATAACTCAAGAATCTATGAATGGATTGTCATGAAACTTGGTAGTTGGGTAAGTCTTAATGAGGCCTCAAATAAGTAGATTTTGGGATCCCTAGCAACTTGTTAGGGTACTGCAGCGGAACGGCCGGTTTTGATATGTCGTGATCTGGACATGTTAGGGTGGTAAGATTTCTCTTGCGCTAGAGACATACGTTTAGTGCGCCTAGCTGCACGACGATGTCATTTTTTACGTTACCATTTACGAATTCGTATTTCTGCTAGATGATTGCTGACTAGTTGTATTGGCTTCACAGATAGTACACGGTGCCGACAGTTCGGACTCGGAATCCGAATACCCGATGCCCGGCGACGACGACATCGTGGCGAGATCGTTGGCCATTCGGAAGAGGAAAACAACAAAGATTGTCAGGGAGCTGTCTGCTCGATTTGGAGTGGTGAGTCAGCTGCATAGCACAACTAATGATAGAAAGTGATTAATGTATAATCACTTTTAATAATTATTGCATATTCTTGCGCAGATGGGCTAAAGGAACATGCGACCATACGTAGTCTAGAGGATATAAAACTTTGTATTGAATACTGAAACGCCGAATGCATGCTAGAACTAAGTATGTATTGAAAGTTTACATATTACAAAAATACTGTAACCTATTTATCATCTGTGATTTATCATCTACTGTTAAACAACGCTTCTTCTCTTTTTGAAACACATGGAAACCTTGGCTAATTGAAAAGCTAGCCTCTTAAAACTGATGGAATCGATGGATTGGTGGTAATTGTATAGTTTTGCAGATACTACTGGTGCTTTTTCTAATGTAATTAAATTCATTTTGTGTTTGCTGTAGTTCCAACAAAGAGTTTTAACTGAATTCTATTCCAATTTTGATGTTGTGACATTCCTGTCCCACAGGCTGAGACCTGGGGTCCTCTGCGGCTGCGCGGAGGGACAGAGGGGGGCAGTACTCCCTCCCTGTCGGACGTCTCTGGGGTCGCGGACAAGGCCAAGGACATGCTGTCAAAGGTACCCAGATTTTTACTACAAGATGTAAGTGATATGAATGTATCGCAATGAAAGTAGAATCCAACGTGTTGATACTCGATTGTTTCATTGCCAAACAACGTGTCATTGTTCCGTTGTTAAATTAGAAAGCCTGTTGGTACCTCTGAAAATGATATTAATTTGGCCCTACTTTATAAAAAATGTGCAGTCAACACTTACAAAATGTATCTTATTTCAAGCTGAAAGTCCAGGGACTTTGCAATATTCCTTGGAATATTTGACAGGTTTATTTTAGCAAATGCCAGACACTTAAGTTAAAGTCATTTAAACCATAGTTTCGAAACGCATCTCTCTTTGTTACATCTTGGTAAATCATGCTGAGACTAGAATAGCAAACTTCTTTATTCACATCCACTTGTTTAACAAGAGCCGACGTTTCGATGACCGTCTGTCATCTTCATCAGGGCAATTATGACTGGTTCACTGAGCCCTGAAGCTGGGTATCACTGGTGCACAGTGAACCAGTCATAATTGCCAGACGGTCATCTAAACATTGGCTCTTGTTAAACAATTTTTTATGAATAAAAACTTTGCTATTCAATCCTTCGCAAATCTGAAAAATTTATTTACGGATGCTGAGAATATTTTGGTTTTTTTTGACTAGGCTGAAGACCTGAAGAAGAAGTTCCCACCGTGGAGAGACATCATCTTCAACAAGCCTGCCCTCGCCTACATCCTGGCCTACCTGGTCTACACACTCACCTTCTGCCTCGTCATCAACCACCTGGCGGACTTCTGCGCAGTCGTGCTCAACGACGAGAAGGAGGAAAGTCTGGGGGCCATCATAGACGACCTGACCAAGACTGGCCACAGGGGGTTAAACAAGAGAATGTCCATCCCGTATGAGTACCGACCAACCCGCGGGAACCATCATGGCTTCAACATCAAAACGGTAAAAAGTCCACTAGATTATTAAGATTCAGTCTTTCATCTTTCATAAAAAGATTAACAGAATGAAAAATTATACGACTTCATACATGACACAAAAATATAACCCATAATATCCTGACCTACTGCCATGGTGATGCCCGTGAAGACCACGAAGGCGGCAGTTACGTAGTACGTCACCTAGATTATTATGATTTTGAAAGGTGGTCTGAATGCACACAATGCATGAAAGAATAATTTCTTACTTCGTTTAAATAATTTGTCAACTGTTCTGTTCCTGTATACTTTATGGAGAAGCTTGATATCACGCCTGTTAAATTGTTAAATAAGAATGCTTAAACAAAGAAAGCTCAGTACCGTGTATACACGTGTACATAAAATACCTACACGTAGTACAAATGGAAAATGCTCTATGGTACAAACAACCCATCAATTGTTACAAAGGGTTCTCTTGTGCTCGCACAAAACCTAACCCTGTTTGTGTGTTCATCCCGTGTTTAGTGTGAATACGGCCCATGGCTCGGCACCTACACCACCATCACCCTCCTGGTCGCCGGCTTCCTGGCCGATCAACTGTTGGACTCGGGAAGAGTTGACATCACTGTGCTCAGAAAAGGCTTTCACATCGTTGGTGAGTTACAGAACATTTCTACTACTAATACTACAGTATAGTATTTCTAATTTTCTTGGTATTTAGGGCATGCATTTGTTTAGGTCGGGTATGTACAGAAAATGGCGTTTTGGATACTAATGGTAATGGTCCCACAGCCGCTTACGGACACAACATGTAATCAATCATTTTTCAAAGGCACCAGTTCTCCTTCTTATCTCCCATAAAAATACAAACCTGTTACGTGGTTTATGACTGGCTGCACATTGTGTTTTCAGGACAAGTCTGTGGTGCCCTGCTGATGCTCGTCATCATCCTCACCAAGGACGAGCTGGTGACGTACTACGGAACTGCCGCCTTCATGGTCTTCATGGGCATCACCATGGCAGCAGGTCAGCATATTATGGGCTATACGTATAATTCGTGTCATGAAGTTGTACGTATATTAAACTCTATTACACTTCTTTTTATGAAGAAACTGTGAGTCTGTTTTTCACGTATTGTTTTGCGTCGCATCCGACGACTTAACTTCATAGAAGTGATTTTGACTTTGTATGTAACTATCAAAATCGATTATCACAACCGTTGCCATGTAAGTGTTGTTTTCTTTTAGACTACGTAACTATGTACATACTAAATAGTAGGGACCGTAATTGCGCTTAGATAAAGAATCCATTTTTTGCTATAATCTTTCCCAGGTTTCACGGTGACTCCGCTGGACATAGCTGACCGGTACGCGGGGATTCTCGTGGGCGTGGCTAAAACCCTGGCCAGTCTGGTGCTGCTCGGCTGCCCGATGCTCTTCAAATTTATGAACAAATTTGGAGTAAGTCCTAACAAAATGGATGTATCTATTTATATTAGAGTATAGGTGGTAGCTGAGTGTCAGCTGTACTATACTTTTTTGTATAGTTATAATATATTCGTCCATTTTACTCGATGGTTTGAGTTCATAACTTTCTTGTGCAGCTAGTTGTATTTTTCTTAGAGTAGCAAAGGTAATTTTGTGAATTATGAACATACATTTAATTTACATAAAAATTCCAAGCAGGTGGTATTGACATTTGAAAAATAATGTTTTTTCTTTTACATTTTTTATAGATTCGTGGGTTCGAGGTTGCCATAGGAACCATGGTAGGGGTTATCGTCCTCGCGGCCGTCATCTACGGTCTCCTGGCCAGTGCGGAGCCCCTGCAGATTGTAGTAGAGAAACCCCGCCCCAAAATCAAACTCCCGAAGTTCCCCTTCCCGTCAATCTCCGCGCCCAAAATAAAGGTTCCGTTCCCTGATTGGTTCAAGAAGAGGGAGGAGCCTGAGGGGGAGGCGAAGGAGGATGCGGGAGAGACGGGCGCTCCGATGTCGTGGTACAAGTAAGTTCTGCTGCACATTAATTGATGAGTATTCTGAAAACTACTTACATCTACATGTAAAAAATGACAACTTTCCTCTCTTGAATCATGCTTGAAAGGTGCACTCTGAAGTACACTCTGAAGACAAGCAATGGCAGAAGAACCTCCGGTTGCAATCCCCACATTCAATATTACCAACCCATACCAAGCACAGTCCCTGTTTTTCGTCGTGTACTAGCCTTGCGTATCTCGAAAACATAAAAATGTCGCTGAATTGTCTCCTTGTGTTGAATTGTCTTCTTTTGTTCATCCAGGAAAGTTCTTGACGGCGTTCCAAAGCCGGACATAAACTACCCGACTGTAGACTGGTTCCAACTGCCGACCCAGAAAGCGCTCTGTAGCTGTATGCCGAAGAGATATCTGGTAGGAATCACCTGTGGCATAACATAGAGTACTAGTATAGGACGTACAACGGTACATACAGTAGTAAGAGAATGTAAGTCATGAATAGTATCTAATAAGGAGTAATGATGTGTTAAGTCTTAGGAATGACAGTATAATCTGAAAAGGTCTTCAGCAAACTGTCAGTCGCACAGTGGAAATATTTCAAAGATATAAAGCTAGGTAAGTAGACGCAAAGAGTTTCCATCCCTCAATGAAAATGATGACATGAACTTGTCTTTTCAACCAGATCGCGATGCTGTCGTGTATCGGGTTCCTGATAGAGTACGGCGCCCGGACCAACATGGGCGTGGCCGTGACGCAGATGGTCAACAACGACACCGTCATGGACCAGCTCTTCCAGGTTTGTACACGAAGTTTGTCATCAACTATCAGTTTCAGTTTAGTTTCAGTTTATTGCACAAAGAAGCATATTGCAGCCAGATGGCTGAATTGCATATTCATTTACATACTGTCAGTGGAACACAGTAGAATAGACTGAAGTTGTTAAAACATGCAGCTACGAATCTAAAATTACTCAAAACATATTGGTACGTAACATATCTAAAATCACTCTAGACATAGTACTACGACGATGTAATAATCGACATGAAAATTACAAACTATCATGAACCGGTACGTTATTCCATCAGGCTGTAGAACTCAAGGGTGTTAGGTGATGACAGCAGATAGTATTTAAAAATCTCTTTCATGTTGCCTTACCTGAAATGATGATATGAAATAATTCAGCGTCTGTCTTCCGTGTTTCAGCCGTCAGAGTTGGAGTGGACCATGTTGATTGTGGGGGTGATCCATGGTGCTTTCTTCCTGGGCTTCCTGCTGTCCAGACCTCTGGGAGGATTTCTGGTTTCGCGGTACCCAGCAACAATGTAAGTCAAGACAATGTGTTATTATCAGCAAATCAAATACATCCAAAGGTGTTGAAGATGGTACGCCAAAAAACAGTTACTCAAGCAACTAGATATGGTTTTGGAAAATGCTTTTCAAAATCATATCCAGTTGCTGTAACTGTTTTTTTTTGGCGTATCTTATTACCTGGATGTCTAGCCTTCACCGACGTGTTGAAGATGACAATTGTAATATCACTACATTACGTCTGTTTTTCCCCAGTGTTTTTGTACTGTCCATCGCGGTCTCCTGCCTGGTGAACCTGTTCATTCCTGTAGCCGCCACCGTGCATTTCTCCATCCTCGTAGCACTGAGAGTAATTCAAGGCATGAGTGAGGTAAGATATGAATCTTAGAACTTCATAATGTTATTATTTTATTGTAGTATTATTATATAATAATTTTTTTCTCATTATTCACATTTAAAAAGAAAGAAAATTTAACGAACACGAAGGCGTTTGTGTACTTTTGCGTTGTATTGTAACAGTCACTATTTGGCAATGTTTGTAAAAAAATCCTGCTAAATCATTACGCAAAATGAAGACAGATAGTCATTAAATCGTACGCTTTAAATTCTGGTACGAGACCAGACACAATTTTCCGGCTGGCTGGATGTATGAAGGTTAACGTGCACTATCCCTGAAAATGCTGTATCATCAGCGTTCTACCAAATCATAACATAATTGACAGAGAAATTGAATTCTACAAATGTTTTGCTAAATGTCGTTTTGAACTGATAGGTCATTCATTATCCTGATGAAGGCGACAGTGGTCATTGAAAATTTGATCTCTCTTTAAACTTTGTGTAGGAATAAGGTTCAATTTTTACTACGATTACTACCAACACAGATGAACTTTCATGATAATGTGTCGCTAAATGATTAGATGAAAAAGGAAGATGATAACGAAGATAACCCTTTTGTCCCCAGGGCCTGACCATCCCTGCCTCATACGGTATCTGGACCTTCTGGGCCCCGCCCACCGAGAGGAGCAAGCTCACGTCAATCACCGTCACAGGTAACCTCCAAGAAGATTTTTCAGCGGCTGCAAGACAGTATTAATTCACTAAGCAGTATCCATTTGCCAGACAGTTATCATTGCCAACACGCCAAAATAAGCCGAGCCCTAAACAAGGCACACAACAAGACAGTCGTTTTATTCCACTCAAACGAAACGCCTTTGTTTGTTGATTGATATCCATTGTGATTTTTAGCAATACTAATACTGTCATGATTTTGATTGTTTTTTTTAGGTCAATACATAGGAATAGTGATAGGCATGATCGTGTCTGGAGTGGCTGTTCACGAAATTGACTGGCGGGCACCCTTTTGGATTTACGGTAAGCCTAATATCAGTAGTGATATGTTTGTGCCTGTCACTAAGTATCTGATAGTGTTATGTCATGCACTGAAAACTTAAGTCGGAGAAAAAATTGTAAATGAGTAACTGTTTCCTCTCGCTAATATATGAATTATTTCAAAATATTTGAAGTTCGGAAAGTGTGCGTCTTTCGCTTGAGTAAGAAACTCTGTACTTTGTCTAGAGGGGCACAGTGTATCATGTGTGGTACAAAGAATTGAGGATGTTGATTTTGTTCCGTTGAACCCCAGGTGGTGTCGGCCTGATCTGGTCCGTCATATGGTACAGCATGGTGTACGAGTCACCGGAAATTGACAAGTACCTCGACCCCGAGGAGCTGAAGTTCATCCAGGACAGCATGACGTCACTTCCGGGGCTTAAACCACCCAGTGAACCTGACGCCAAGGTAGGGGAACATTCATGACCACCATAGTAGAACAAAACACTATTTATGTTTACCGAAGGAAAACATATTGTTTTTGCTCTGTTTCGGCTTCTTCTTCTTCTCCAAACCAATAGGGTCAATTACCTGATCCAGGCGTCTGTCACGATGGTAACTAATACATCATGTTGCATGGGATACATCATGTTGGAATTTTATAGTAGGAGGGATTTAGACTTCTGTCTGGCCATATATATGAATGTACAGTCACGTGTTTGAGTAAGGGCAGGCCATATGCTTTACAAAAATGTTACATTACTTGTCATTTCTCAGCATTCTATCACTTACGCATTACAACATTATTGCAGTGTTGCAACGCGATGTTAACGACAACATCATGGACGTTGCTTTCATTTCAAATCTCTCGTTCAAAGTCCGCAAGTAATATTTAGGACCCTCTAGTTGCATGTAGTTTTTACTGGTGCGATTTATCTACTCATTCTTGTGTTCCAGTCTGAAACCTCTGAGGCGCCAAGCGAAGCCAGCGAGTCCAAACCAAAAACCCCGCAGTCGCCCGCGTCATCAGTCGGACCTGACCTTCCCACACAAGTCTCACCACAGAAGACCCCCTGGAGACACCTGCTGACGTCACTTCCGGTGTACGCCATCTTGGTTTGTGACACCTGTGTGAAGTGGGTGGTGTACCTCATGCTCCTTAACGCACCGATGTACTACGTACAGTCATTCAAGGTCAACGAACTGGAGGTTTGTTCAACATCATTGAAGTCTCTCTTGTTGATGATAACAATTCACATCACTGACACAGAAAAAGCACTTGAATAGTGATTAGTCTTATCACAGGAAAGAACCATGTCAGCAAATTTACATCAAGAGTTGCTGTGTTTCGGAGTCAAAACAAATGTTTTTTTTTTACATGTACAACTTGTCGCTAGAAAGACAATAACTTGGAGTAGTCTACATGTGAAACAAAGCATATGATTCATTTATATAAAACGGAGCAATGTATTTCTTATAGTGCACGTATAAAATAGGCTTTACCCCAGTCCATGATAGCTAGCTGCGTATCTACAAGTTTGAGGGACAACACCAGGATGTTAGAAACTCAGTGCACGTATCTCGGTTACTCTCCACAGGCCGGTGCGTTCGCGGGTCTCCACTTCTTCCTGCTGATGTTCGGCCTGCCTCTGGTCGGGTCTCTGGCAGACTGGGTGTGGAGAACACAGTCCATGTCCACCACCACCATGAGGAAACTATTCAACACCATGGGTACTGCAAACTTATTTCTGATGTAAAGAGGAAAAGATAAAAAGAAGTTGTCATTTGTCTGCTCGTCTTTCTTTTATAAATTTCAACATGTAATCACAAGACGTGGTGACGGCACACTCAAGATTTTTCAACTTATTTTAATGCCGCTACCAACACAGAGGACAATGCAATGCTCATTTTCACCTAAGTGAAGTGAGGAAAGTCGTGTTAAGTGCCTTTGCCGAGGGTACAAGTTCGGTGGCATGTCAGGGTTCGAACCCAGGACCTCTTGGTTCTGAGAAAAACATTCTATCGTTACGCCACACGACCTCTCAAATACGTCTGCACGTCTATGAAAGGGTTTGCAAATGCCAAGATATTTGTGCTTCTGAAAAGGTTGTACCTAGATGATGTACCTAGAGTTCAGCTGATGTTGGTATACTCTTGTTTGTTTTTACCAGGTATGTTCGTAGAAGGCGCTTTACTCCTAACCGTCGGCATGACAGCCAACATCTACGTGTCCACGATCAGTCTGAGCATCGCCTTGTTCTTCCAGTCCTTCCCCCTTTCAGCGGGTATGTCATCATGATTTACAATTTATGTCTATGTGACACTGGCCAGTAGAGTAATACTAATGTTTTACAACTAGGCATTCTAGGCATACAATCATAGTAGCCTCTAACAAGCTTTGGAAGCGACTAATGGATAACATGCAAGGAGAATTGGTCCACTAGAGGAGTACGTTTTTTTTGGGGGGGTTTGACAAACTGTACTCCTTTTAGTGGACTAGCTCCCCTGGCATACTATATTATATATCTGTCTATTTGGCCAATCTATACTCTTTCCAGTCGCTTCCAAAGCCGTTTGAGGCTACTCTGAGAGGACGTATCGGATATAAATGATATCAGACAAGGCAAACGATTTAACTTCAACTCTCGCTGTTTCTCGCAGGATATAACGTGAACGCCTTGGACATCGCGCCCCAGTTTGCCAGCTCCATCATGGGTCTGTCCGGTTCCCTGTCCACTGTGGTAGGCATGGCCTGTCCCGTCGCCATAGGAGCCATCACTATGCAAAAGGTACATTTTAGGAGAGAAATGATAAACTAGAACATGGTTAACTAGTATTTTAAAAGTAGATACGGCATTTGATGTCTATTCAGCACCAAGGACATGTACAATCTGGTATCTTAGACTTCTGTTAGGATGCTTTTGATGAAGCAAAAGTGGACATCGTGCAATCTCACTACTTCTTATCTTTACTTCCAGACACAAGAAGAGTGGAACATCGTGTTCATCGTGTCGGCAGGACTGATCCTGTGCGCCGGCCTCCTCTACCTCCTCTTCGGCTCGGGCGAAGTTCAGGACTGGGCGGACTTCGGGCCCCACCCGACCGTCTCCTCGGGCGATCCCGTCCCGAAGGGGAACGAGAGCGGCCTGCCAAATATGATCATTCCGGATCCGGAAACTCTCCTAGACCAGAGCGTGCACAGAGTTCAGATGGACGACAAAGACCCATATATGTACAATCTCGGTGAAAGAGACTTTAGTTACTTGGATGATGACGATTTTTAGCAACACTATAGGCTGTACTTCAAGATAAAACATACTACTCAGTGAAAAAAGTATTATATTTATCCAAAAGTTACGACACCAATTCTAATTAGCTCTGTATATGGCGGCTATGCACACGGATGGCTTTGCAGCAACAGTAAAAATAGATATGTAACTTTTGAAATTTTCTTTTTGGTTTATCTTATTAGTGTAGTCTTGGTATTGTGATTTGGGATAACTTGATGGTGTGTCGGGATGTGCAATACGTGTTGAATTAATTCGGGATTGTGTTGGGTGAACATGCTTAATCAGTTTTCAATCTTATCATTATAAAATTATCGCCAGTCTGTGTGTTGATGATTATCGGTGAATCAGGTGCCATATTTTTTGTTACATTATTTCATAGATAAACTCTTTTTTTTCATTTAAAGTTAATAATAAAAGTAAGTTAATGTTCAAGGTTTTAAGATGTCTGATGTCAAAATAGTGATAAGTGATAAAATAGATTGTGAAATACACGCAGATAGCAAAGTTTTTTTTACGATTACACATTTTGCAGTGTGCTGTGATTATTGATAATAATATTAATATGCAGTCAAAAACTTGTAGTGTCTAACTATGCATGCATCAAAACATGCAGGCATTCTTATGATCAATCGGGAAAATAACAGTGTACTTACTGTATGATTGTATAGAATCCTCTTTCAGCAGACAGAGTACACTTGTTTAGTGTGCAATTTAAAAAAAAACTCGGCGGCCTATCACCCATATGCTTCTAGAGATAGGATTACATTATGTCTTTCCTTAGATGATTGTCAAAGAGAAATCGACCTGTTCACCTTCAAATCATTTTTTTATTCTCACTTGTAACACGGATAGGTTTCATGCATAGTGTCCTTTTTTTAGGAGTGTGGCATGATATGTTTTAGAAATCAACATTTTAGTACAAAGTGCCATGGTTGCTTGTATTTTCGTGATCTATATATTTGCCCGTCATACACAGTAACACTTGGATCTGTATACGTTTGGGAAATAAAGGTGGCAAACTTTAAAAAAAAAATGTATGATGATTGATTTTATTGTGTTCATCTCATGCGCCACAGGTGACATTTACTTTGACTTCTGTATCACGACATAAAGTCTATTTTCAGATGTATACATCAGCCACAAGAAGTCAAACCTAGCAGTGTTGTTGTAACTTGGCGGTCTGGTTTGGTACTGCAGATTAGCTTAAGACTTTGGTCAGTCAAGCTTCATAAACTAAGCGATGATAATCATCAAATCATAAGGAGGTGGCTTTTCATGTATGGCCTATATAGTCGTTTATGTTAATGCTTCCATATACCTCTTATTTTATGGAACAAAATAGATTATATACGTATTGTACCCCATGACTCCAATATATACGACAGCCAGGGGTGTATGTGGAAGCTGCTTCCATGATAGGAATCATATCGTCAATTATAGGCATTACCGTTTTGGCAAACATATGTATAAAGCAACATGCAGATATTACGGCTGTGATATCAGTTCTAACCTCGACAGTCCCTAAACGTACATGTAAAGTTCTACCTTCGGTAAGGCCATGATGACTTGATTGTGTGGATGACATCCTCTGGGAACCCCAAAACTGATGCGCGCGTGAGAATGAAAAAGTTTGGCAAAAAAAAAAGTGTTGCTTTCATTATGAAATCTACGTGGTCATGAAGGTTGAACAAATGACACAGAATATTTTTCGTTGGTATCGTTTTCCAATATTTCTTTTTGCAACTTACGGTATATATTTGCTCATTTTGCAACTGTTTTGTACGAATTACACTATTTTTGAAAAGTTGCTTTTTGGAAACGACCGAAAATTCATGCGTGCGGGGATGTAATCCATATAATCCAATCAACATGGCCTAAACCACACCACGACTGACGCGTGCCTCCGCCTCTATGGCGACGTCCGACACGCAAACAAACAAGGGCGCCCTGCCCGAGCTCACCAGTCAAAAGGGTAAAATCGCCGGGTCGCTGCACAAACACTCTCACCGGCGACGTGACAGGACGTGTGCCGGTACTGTACGTGACACAGCCACCCCACTAAAGGTACGTACTGCACAGCTATAAGAGGTTCGTACATGCAGTTTAGTCTGAGTCTGAACGGTGTGCATTTTAATGATGCTACAGTTTACCGAGCCTAATCCCCACGAAGGTATTGTATTTGCCGAGGGGCATGTTTCAACAACACTACAAGTGCGTAAGTATGGCCACACGTACTACACGATCTATCGACGTTTTGTGAAAGGTTAGGTTGGTTCGAACATGTACGTGGTATTTTAGCAAATCTGCTACCTGCCTTGTGTAAGGGTTGTACCAAGGACAAGTTCATTGTTGCGTAACAATGGCACAGGCACGCGAAGGTTAAGGGCATGGTAGAGGGTAGGCGCGGATTGCGCAATGCTTTCATAGTAAAGGTGACGGAAAAAGCACGCCCTTACACTAAGCAAACACGCAGTACGTGACCTGAACAATGACACAAATGGATTAACCATATTTTTGCTGGTCACGCTGAACACGTAGACCTCACACGCATTGCGCAATCTTATAATGAATAGAAAAAAATCACTCATATTAATATCTAATATTCAATCATAAAACATTTCCATTCTACTGCATGGGAAGGCTAAAGTAACCCTAGGTAGGTTAAGTAGCTAAAGACTTTAAGAAAGCTGTTGACTTTGACTTCTCTACGGCGGAATTCCGTTTGAACTTTCCATGCACTTATCTAATAAATCTATTCAGCGATAATTAAATGCGCATAAGGCAGGTATATGTTAGACAAATTTAGATTAAGTAGTGTGTACGGTAAATAGTGTTTTAGTCTGGATATGTTGAGTACCAAATATCCCCTCGATGTAGTTGTTACTTTTAAAATGGACTTATCTACTTTGTCCTTTTGATAGGCAGTTCTATCTTGTTCTAACTAACGATAATCTTTTTACTGAATAGTTTTATCTATTTGGTAAAGCAAAGAATATTACACAACTGCTATATACTCTTAGCCTGGTTACCAAACCTATTATAGCTCCCAAATACTGCATTCTCTCCTCTATTTGCGGAGAGGATGTAGGACTCGGGAGCTATATTGAAATAGGTTTGGTAACCAGGCTATTATACTCTCACCTGCTTACATTTCAAAGTCTATCGGATGCCTTCCTCTATCAGATACCTTCCTCTGACTGGAGAACTGACTAGCGCCACCTACATCGGCCACATACAGCGTCGAGAAGCAGTACTCTAGTCAGAAGCTCTGAGGAAGGTAAATTATATCAAATCAACTCAAGAAATCTTATAGACATCGAAACGTAAGCAGGTGAGAGACATTGCCGGTTGTGTAAAAAGAAACCCTTATGTTCTTATTGCTTTACAGTAAGGCCGCGGACCTCTACAGACGACATGGGTGCGTTTTTGACCAAGCCGTTCTCCCTGGTGGGGAGACTGCTGTGGAAGGTTCTCTTCTCCTGGTGGGTCAAACAGATAGAGACGCCTAATGACGTCACAGGGCTGACACCGACACAGAGTCGGCTCGTCAAGGAGTCTTGGAAGACGTTCCTCAGTAAGAAGAGAGAAAACGGATTCGTCATATTCAGGGTGTAAGTTCATGTTGCAATTGCTGTGTTGGTTAGAATGATCTAGGTAGCGGCACCCTGAAAACATTCATGTTGTACCTAGTTTTATCGAGCCTCTACTAGGTTGCAAATTGTACTCATCTGTAGCCTCTATCAGGCCGTAAACTCTACTCCCTTAAGCCTCGGTCACAACTCGCCGTACGTGCTTCTGCGTGCTGTCTACGTGCAAAAACGTGGGAAAACGTACGGCATCCGTGCGTGGTGAGTACCACCTCCGTACGGAATCCTACGGATTTGGGAGCACGCAGACACGCCGTAGAACCTTAAGTGCATGTAATACTTTTTCTACGTGCGGTCTGCGGATTTACCACCCGTGCGTGCGAGTACGTGCGACGCGCGTGCCCCGTACAGCCTATGAGCGTGCAACGTACGGACTCCGTGAGTCTAACTTCACTATTCTCACGTGCAATTGCTGTACGGACAGCGCACGAAGTACGTGCGTGCCACGCACGGTGCTTGCGTCATCCGTGCTTACTCCTCACTTCCCAGTTGACCTGCTCAATGACCACGCAGAACAGACGTGCGCCATACCAGGTGCTCCGCACGTGCAACGCACGTGCAACGCAGCTGATTTCTACAGTATATAAAGACGACTTGACGGGCGACTGCCAACTCTTCTCCAAGATGCCCAGGAAGGCTCAGAAGAAGACTACCAGACAAGATCCAAAGAAACGGGCCGCGGAAGACACCAGGGCGGCTAGTGATGATGAAGTTAACAGGAGGTGCACGCACTTACAATGTGCGAGTGAGTAAGGAAACCGTGCGTACGCCGCACGTGTAGGTACAGCCTGTACGCGGCAACGTGGCAATCGCACAGAGATCGTACGTTGTAAGCACGTACAACTCACTTACCACTTGCGCAACGTACGATGCACGCAACCGCTGACGGTCAGGCGTGTCGTGCAGACCACGTACGTACACCTTGCGAGTGACGTACTCCCTCGGCCGGCCACCCTACGTTTGCAGAAAAAACGTAGCAGACGTAGCCACGACAAAAACGTACGGACAAAAAGCACGCACGGCGAGTTGTGACCGTCGCTTAAAGCGACGGTCACAACCCGCCGTACGTGCTTCTGCGTGCTGTCTACGTGCAAAAACGTGGGCAATCGTACGGTATCCGTGCGTGGTGAGTACCACCTCCGTACGGAATCCTACGGATTTGGGAGCACGCAGACACGCCGTAGAACTTTAAGTGCATGTAATACTTTTTCTACGTGCGGTCTGCGGATTTACCACCCGTGCGTGCGAGTACGTGCGACGCGCGTGCCCCGTACAGCCTATGAGCGTGCAACGTACGGACTCCGTGAGTCTAACTTCACTATTCTCACGTGCAATTGCTGTACGGACAGCGCACGAAGTACGTGCGTGCCACGCACGGTGCTTGCGTCATCCGTGCTTACTCCTCACTTCCCAGTTGACCTGCTCAATGACCACGCAGAACAGACGTGCGCCATACCAGGTGCTCCGCACGTGCAACGCACGTGCAACGCAGCTGATTTCTACAGTATATAAAGACGACTTGACGGGCGACTGCCAACTCTTCTCCAAGATGCCCAGGAAGGCTCAGAAGAAGACTACCAGACAAGATCCAAAGAAACGGGCCGCGGAAGACACCAGGGCGGCTAGTGATGATGAAGTTAACAGGAGGTGCACGCACTTACAATGTGCGAGTGAGTAAGGAAACCGTGCGTACGCCGCACGTGTAGGTACAGCCTGTAGGCGGCAACGTGCAATCGCACAAAGATCGTGCGTTGTAAGCACGTACAGCTCACTTACCACTTGCGCAACGTACGATGCACGCAACCGCTGACGGCCAGGCGTGTCGTGCAGACCACGTACGTACACCTTGCGCAACCGTGCGAGTGACGTACTCCCTCGGCCGGCCACCCTACGTTTGCAGAAAAAAACGTAGCAGACGTAGCCACGACAAAAACGTACGGACAAAAAGCACGCACGGCGAGTTGTGACCGTCGCTTTAGTGTACTAACTCCCCTGACATGCTATCTGTATCTTTGTTCAATTGCTACTCTTTCCAGCCGCCTCTGAAGTCTGATAGAGGCCAGTCTGGCCGGCTTACTCCTCTGGCATACTAATCAGACTATTTGGCCAATTTCTACTATTTTTCCAGCAATCTGAGGAGCCTGGTAGATGTAAAACTTTATCGATATATTAGATTTTCTACTGGTTTCTATGTCGAGTTCCAACAGTAGGGCTATGGAACAATCTTACGATAAGAGATAAACAAAAGTTTAAGAAGTTTTTTTCAGTGCAAAACGTTGACAGCATGTTGAGTGAGAGTCGATACAGATAAAAAGTTATTAAGTCACTGGGAGGACAGTTAGTTTAACAGAGGGGAATATGTTATACCGTTTGTAGATTGTTCACGGACTACCCCATCACAAAGAAGCTGTTCAAGGGCGTGGAACAGATGGACATGGCTGTTCCGGGACAGCTGGAGAACAGCATCTCCCTGCGAGCACACGTCACGCGGTTCATGCACAGCTTCGACACCTACATGGAGTGTCTAGACGAGCCCGAAGACCTGAAACAGCTTCTGTACGACACCGGCAAGGGGCACCTCAGACACAACATCAAGCCGGAGTACTTTGACGTAAGTTGGTCTTTGAAATCCACTCAAAGATATCGAAGGAATTCCGGACATATTTCTGAACTCACTTGGGGTAATAACACAGATCTACATGTAGAATATGGTGCCAGAGACATAGAAGGGGTATTTCAGACACAACATCAAGCCTGAGTACTTTGACGTAAGTTGGTCTTTGAAAGTCACTCAAAGATACCGAACGAATTCCGGTCATATTTCTGAGCTCACTTGGGGTAAGATCCAGAATATGGTATGGAGTTTCGTGGAAGAGACAGCTCAGAATATTTTCACGTAAATCCTCTTTGAAAGCCACTCTGAAAATATCGAAGGAATTCCACAGACTGGAATACATATTTGGATCCAGATATTTTTTTAGCTCAATTTTAGATGTAACACAGATCTAGAGTAGGGTTTAAGAAAAATAACGTCGTTGAAGGGTTTATAATTTTCCTTTCATACCTTTGAACTAGTAGTAAGATGACACGTGAAACTTAGTATCTGATTTATTCGACATATACTTGTACGCAGGTTAATACATTTGGGCCCAGTTGTTTTTATGGCTGTTTAGATGTAGTAGACCTTACGAATGTTGCCATACTTTTGTTGTGTCAATAAAGATTGCTGATAATGTAGACAGTGTAAATAGTAGACCACAATAAACTGACTCCATCTCTTTCTAGGTTCTTGAAACCGTCCTGATGAAATCTCTGCGGATAGTTTTCGGAAGTAAGTTCACCCCACAACTCGAAGAGGCCTGGCAAACAGCGTACAGCCACTTCAAGGTTCCCATCAAGCAGGGTTTGGAGGATGAGATACGCAAGGCTGCTGATACAAGCGTAACTGGTAAGTGAAGTACTCCAAGAAATACTTTATGCAAAAGAATACTGGTTTCAAATGATATGTGGTACTGAAAACACAGAATGTTGTGCTTCAGTCTTGACATCGAAACTCTGAGTTGCACACTAAAGCATCTGTCGCACATTCAGAACCTCCACCCGACCACCAACCAACTAAGGTTGGATGATGTTCGGGAGAAGTCTGAACAGATTTAGGCCAGCCTACCTTTCTATACGAATCGAATTTGAGTTAGATTTTAGTTAAATTTGACTCCCAACCACGCCCCGACCACTGCTGACCTACCCTCATTCACCAGGCAACCATTCCCTAACCATGGCCCAACCTCCTGCCCACAACGTTTCAAACCTTTTGAAACATTTGGCTGCCAGTAGCCGACATTGTCGAACACGAGCCAACCACAGCCAACCTTGGTCCCAACCTACTCCCAACCATGGTTGGGGGAGCCCGGTAGTGTTCGGGAGGCCATATTCGGTTATGTGTGACAGGGGTTTAAAGTCAAGTGTAACTCGGAGGTGAATGTCAATACCAGTGATACTGAGACGTTTGTGCGCGCGCATTCATTACGATGAAGTCATTGAAGAATTATGGCCTGGGGTCATGTAGAGTTCAACGTCGGCAGTGTGATATGTAAGAATGTTTAAACCTTAGAATAAGTAGTATTAGTTGACCCACCTATTGTTCTGTACGTAGGATATTTTCGTTGTACCCATGTATAATTGTCTGTACATCTACATGTCTTTGACCTTACAAAAGTCGCTGTACTTTTTGTTGTGTCAATAAAGTTCTGTATTCTATTCTCAATGCCATATTGTAACAGTTTTTTTTCTATTTTCCTCAGTGACCGTGGAATAAACGTCGTCAGAGTCACACTTTTGAGATCAATGGACATGAAGAACTAAATAAAGAACTCAACAATTCAAGTTAGGACAAGTACCTGACTAACTCTTCCAAAGAGCCTAATTGTCATCAGCACCTTGGCAGCCATCTTGAAATTGACGTACAGTGTTAGTATTTCGAATACAGTGTACAATATCAAGAAGTTGTCTGGCAGTAGAAGACACTTTTCAATGTTGAAGTACTTCTTGAAATACCGTAAAAATGTGAGTAATTTGTGATCGTGGCCATGATATTCAATATCATGTTATTTCATATTTAATGTCATGACAGTTGATATTTAATTTCTGTATTTTTTTTTAACCCAAATTGTTAACCAAGTGACTGAATGCTATTACACAAGTTCGATGTCTCTCTGGGTCATCTCTCAGTTTCTTTTACAGTGTCATTAAAATCTAATCTCCGTAAATTCCCAGTTGATTGTGTATCTTTCATTGAACGTTATGGTTATCAAATTTAATATTTCATAGAATATTTTATGGATGCATACGTAGGTCTCCAAAACCCTGTGTATATTGATATGAATACATCGCAGCCGGACCTGCATTGATTTTGTCTGCAGCTGTTTCTAAAAATATAATGTTAACCCTTTCGGCAATTTGGCAGTGACAATGCTTTGAGACCTTGGCAACAAGTGCCGTTAGTCAAAAGGTCGCAGAAAGCTAGACTTGACACTTTGTTTTAATAGAGCTTAAAAGAATCACTGAAAATCATAGAAAAAATGGACATCACGAATCTGTTGAAAAGAAAGCATATAGGTCGCTAGTCAAAAATACAAATAAAAGGGGCAGAAATCGTATTTCCCGCGTTTTTTAAATCAGATTTGGGGTTTCAGACGATACCATCCACACATCTTTATAGAATTGGAAAGTTTTCACTGGTTAATGTACATACAAAATGCCGATGAACACTACCAAATGCTCGCAAGGCTATCTAAACTCTATGACGACGGCTGAGTTGGGACGAGAATATAGGAATGCCCTTTGGCACACTCCATGCCACACGTATTGTGAAATACTGTCACCGCCGGTAGAACGTTATTCAAACAAACAGGCGACCTGCAGCTGAGGACGTGAGGTGGCGAATCCCGGTACTGCACCTGACTCCACACAGCGTTACCCTTAGTACACACACACACACACGGAGGCCACAAGACTGGCGGTCTGAGACACATTCGGTCTTCAGCTGGCTCGTATGGAACTGTAAGTAGTTTGACTGTGATATAGTAAGGTTTTAGTGCTTGAAATTACGTTGAAAATACGAGAGCTACACCTAGCAAGTGGCCTAACTGGCGGGGTTGTCAGAAAACGTTGGCACCTGTTCGTGTACGTTTTGATCTGCGGAGAACTTAGAAGCATCATAGGCTTTGTCCACACTTTGCCCTTTTACTATGCATTTCTTTATTATACCAAGGAGCTTAAACTTTTGATTTTGAAGATCCTTGATTATACAGAAAGTGTGGTAAAGTAGCGCTACCACCATATGCCAAAACTGTGTTGCAAAGATCACACGTATAGCGTATATATTGCGCAACATATAGTTTCGAATTCTGACCTTGACAAATGAGGTTGACCCTACCCTGAACAAACAGCAGTGAACACATTGTGTTTCATGCACATGCCTGGCGCTCTATTTGAACACTGTTAGCTGTAGCATAACAATGCTGTAACTTTCTTGCTCTGCCAAGAAAAATATTCATTTACGTTCGAAGCTAGTTTTAAGTGTCACATGCCTTACTGTAAACCCTTTCAATTAAAATAGGAGTTGGGCAAATTTTCTTTCTGATCGCCTGTAAATACGTGCTCAAGTTGCTTATTAACGTGTTGTTGGACAGCGGCGTCAAAATACGGTAGCCGGTGACTGGTCTGCATAATACCAGTCAATCAGATGTGCCAAACAATATGAATGTTAGTCCTGCACTGATTAAACTGTATGTAAACGGTACTGCTTACAGCGTGGACAATGTGTACCTTTGTACGCTTTTGTTCTGAACCCGAATGTTAGCTCCTTCTGCATGTGTGCGAGAGAGATCAAGTCAGTACAAGGCAGAGAAATGTCACGCAGAATTGAACTTGTTGCCTATACACTTGTCTGAAAAGGGTTTTTTACATAGCAACTTAGGATTAGGATCTATTCACTGTTGGTAAACCCTGGGGACTATCACAAGCTACTAGCTTGTAACGGTCACATCGTCGTAGGTTGTCGTTCGATTTCAAGCAGACTGTGACAGAACCGACCACCGACAAGGCTATAAAACAAACAGGCTTTTCGTAACAAGCCAGCTGAATTTTGTACATAAAACTACTAGTATTTAATCCAAGAATGCAAGAGCTTCAGTGCACAGTGAACCATGTAACACCAAGCTTCAGTGCACAGTGTGCCATGTAACACCAAGCTTCAGTGCACAGTAAACCAGTCGTTATAGCCCTGATGAAGATGACAGACGGTCATCAAAATGTTGGTTCATGTAAAACAAATGGCTGTGAATAAATAAATGAATGAAGACCTTAAAAAAAGAACGTTTCTATTCAATCATTTACAAACCTGATGAAATTATTCACGAGAGTTTGTGATCGTAGGACGAATGATTGATATGACCAGACCCTAAGCATTGTATGTTACCTATTGTCTTAATAGGAATGCTCCCGCTGAGATAGTGTGAACCCAAGTCAACATGGGCGGTGTTCTGGGAAAGCCGATGTTTCTTGTAAGAAACCTGTTGTGGAAAGTCCTGTTCTCTTGGTGGATGAAGCCCATAGAAGCGCCTGATGACGTCACAGGTCTGACGCCCACCCAAGTCCGACTTCTCCAGGAGTCTTGGAAGGTCATCCTCCTCCATAAGAGACAAAATGGTTTTCTCATCTTTAGGATGTAAGTATATATACACGTGTACAGCAGTGTTAAACGTGCCAATATCTGTTTTGTGACAGTCTGACATAAGAGTAAACAAACGCCGAGCCATAACATCATGAGGATATTTAAAATATGCAAATGTAGTAGCATATGGAAGTACTGTTTGTTAGCCTGTGTGTGTGTGTGTGTGTGTGTGTGTGTGTGTGTGTGTGTGTGTGTGTGTGTGTGTGTGTGTGTGTGTTTATGTGTGTGTTTATGTGTGTGTGGGCCCGGGGGATGTTTGTGTTTTCAGATGTGGTTGGCATAATTTTAGAAGGTCTGAATGGATTGTGTTGATATTTGGTATGAGGGTAGGTGCCAGGAAGACAAAAGTCAATGTTGATTTTAGGCCCCCTGGCGGCTTTTCTTGGTACTCCCGGTTTGTGTACGTTCCGTCTTTTCCATGTTACAATTTTCCATTTCCATGTGTAATTTACGTACTCCTTCCTACAGATTGTTCACGGACTATCCTATGACGAAGAGTCTGTTCAAAGGCATCGACAAGGTTGACCCTGAACAGTATGAGAAGACCACGTCCATGCGAGCACACGTCACACGCTTCATCAACAGTTTCGACACCTTCATGGAGTGTCTGGAGGAACCCGAATCCCTGAAAAAACTTCTGTACGACACCGGCAAGGCACACCTCAGACACAACACCAAACCAGAGCACTTTGATGTAAGCTTGCTTGCGATCATAGTCTGTCGTATGAAAACAAAAACATGTACAGTTTAGGACAGGCGTATTCAAATGAGACATCTGTACATGTTGGTACAATGTGGTAATGATGGTAATCAGAATTGGTGCAGAAGATGATGTTGAAAATGCAGTCCATCACACTAGTAAGAAAATATGCAAATATTTTATAAAACATACAATGCATGTGTGGTGTGACCGTCCTGGGTTAAATGAACATTTCTCGTAACGTTCTAACTGTGCATTATTTAACATCTTTGCACCAAAATTTGAAATACTTCAATTGAAAAATCATCGTGTGATTGTAATTTATTTTCACTTTTCAACGTATAGATGCGATTATCACATTCTGACATTCATGGTTGGTGCTAAAACAGCTCACACGAGGGGCACTTGTACTTTGTGGTACAACCAGAATGTAAACAAACATGGCTGACAGCTGTGTTTCCAGGTTTTATACACGCTCGTAAGGCGTCATGTTTTTATTTTGGAACCCCTACTTCCTGCATGACAATTAAAAGCCAAAGGTGTAGGATTCATTCAAGCTTACTTTGTAAAGAAATAACCAGAAAATTTACCTTTTGTATGGTTCTAATGCTACATAATGCAGTATGACCCGTATAAATGGACGTACTGTATTTCATGATAAACTATTTTGTCCATAAAGGATCTAGAAGTGGTGATGATGAAGTCCCTGAAGGCGGTGCTGGGACAGAAGTTTACGCAGTCGGTAGAGAAGGCCTGGAAAACAGCGTTCTTATTCTTCATAGTCCACCTCAAGATGGGGGTGCAGGACGGCTTACGGGGGCGGGAGGAAAAAGACTCAAGTGTAGTAGGTAAGGAGGGATAACGCTTAAGAAGAGATTTGAGTGAGTGAATGTGTGGGTGAAAGGGGTAAGAAACTCACAATGCTAAAGATAACATTGTACACTGCAGTTTTATATTTCATACATGTACAGACCATGCAATTGCCTTCCTGAGTTGATATTTGCTCAGAAGTATTTAAATATCTATGATCTTGAAATCCTTTAAATGCATGATGTTTTAACGCATTCAGGAGGAGCAAGCATTTTGGTGAATATCTTTAATTTTATTTTACAGTGACGGTGGAATGATGTGGACTTACAAATCCTGAGCAGAAATGAGGAGCAGACCAAGATGGTATCTAGCTATATATAGGCTTTTTCTGTAAATATGTGTAATATCAGACACAGATCTGATGATCTCGGCACCCACTGACACCCCCTCTCCCCTCTAGGCCAGTGTTACAAGTTTCAAAGTTGAAGGCATAGAGAATATGTAGCCAAGATGGCGGACAGTAACAACAGGTGCCCTGTCTAGCCGTCTGCATGAATTTAACATATAATTACGCCTGCGCACTGTTCGTTCACTTGCCACGTTCCCCTTTTCTGCAAGTCACTCCGGTTATGACTCACAAGACTCCAACTTCACATGTCTGTCACATGGTATACAACAGGAAGCCTCACGTCTTGCCAAACATTAATGACTTCTGTAACAAGCCTTTTAGCGTGTGAGGTGAAAGGGTCATCATTTCCTGCAGCAAAGGAAGACAAAATTGAGAGGGGGCTACATGAGGGTCGTCTGAATCCGTTTCTTATCTTCATGTAGTTTGGAGGAAATAGTTAATATTTAATTGCTCCATACAATGCGAAGATCCCAAATAGGGACTGGTGGATTTAATTCACCATTCTTGAGTGCTACTGGTAGTGTTGTTATATTAATGAACTTCTTCTGTGGATTACTTTGTTATACTGATACATTACAGATATGGTCATCTTTTGGGATGAGATCTTCTGTAGACTGGTTTATCAGACTGTACATATCTACAACAAGACGTACATGCCTCATGGCAGCCGTATTTCCTGATAATTATCTTGTGGTATCATTTATGGAATGTAGGAAAGGTGGGTACTTGAACTTGACAGATACTAAGGCTTGAAAGAATACATGTACATTCAAATCCATTTAGCAACACATATGGGCGGACAAGAAAGCACAAAACAAGTAAGAAATTGATTATAAAGAGCATTTATTTATACTAGCTCCACATTGTCAACATACATTCAACACACTTACATGTTTAGCCAGCTTTCTAGCTGATAGAGCAGAATCAAATATTCTGACAAATGTTCCTGCCTAGCAATTTTGTAGACTATTGAAAATGTGCCTTTGGTCTTACCAACCATTTAAAACATTTCCTTTATTGCTTACAGAAGACTTTTGAAATGAAATACCTTTCACCATGTTATGAAAATAGTCACAGAGTATTAATGAGCTCCCATAACCACATCCACGTGCGATATTTATATTTCCCCTGTCAGTTGGAACCAAATACCCAACACCATCTTCACTCTGATATTACAAATATTCTATAAATGAAAACTCAAACCTTTCAAGTCCTTAATTGTTGAACTTATCAAAATGTACAGACTCGTATTATGTACTCGTAAACTTTCTGATTCATAGAATAAAAGCGTATATTGATAAATGTTTTCCTGTGTCTTCAGTTTACTGACTTGGTCTTTTCTATTAAAAATAATTTCTCAACTTTGATTCAATAAAGGTATTTAAAAACTGTTAATATAAGACGCCTCTTTTGACTAAACTAGGCATACGTTAATTACAGGTTATATGACAATATTTTGTAATGAATGAATCCAAAGCTTCTGATGAAAACTCAAACCTTTCAAGTTCTTAATCGTTGAACTTCTCAAAGTGTACAGACATTGCGTTTCTTGGTTATTGGTACATGGATGAAGTTTTTTTTTCTGTTTTCATCATCACTGGCTTGGTCTTTTCTCTTAAAAACAATTTCTTAACTGTGGTTCAATAAATGCATTTAAAACTGTTTAGACATGTCAATCACATTTTGCCAGATATCACTCGGCACTAAAAGGTATAGCTTCTCTTGGTTCAACTGATCATCCGTTAAATACAAGTTTTACATCACTTTGCATTGAATCCAAAGCTTTTTCCATGTTCCTGTCATCGCGTCCAAGCACTTTTCATCTGACACTAGATGGAGCTGTTTACAAGGAAGTGTCCTCATCATCCGAGGTGATGAAAGATTGCTGAAGATGGAGGAAGAAGAAGACATTGTATAATAGGTTTCACAATGTACAGTACCTATAACTGAATCTCTGTGACCAGTTAACTCATCAGAAGCTTATTATCAATTATCTTCAATAGAAATGTAAAACTCTACTTTGTTATTGACTTAACTGGCCATAAGACAAATTACGATTGTTCCATTCAATTTCTTCATGTTCTTTATGCAAGGATCTATATTCTTTTTTCCTGATTATTCATGACCTGTGCATGTTAGAGCACAAACGTACTCTATATAAAGGTATTTCATTCATTCAATATAAAATCATATTCCTGTACGGTCATTTGTTCGCGTTTGTACACCGAACCAGTGTAATTGACAGAAGATATCCTCTATTACTGAAATGATAATTCACAGATGTAAACCTTAAGTAACTTACCCCTCTCTTACGAGCTGCATCCTCGACCTCGTGTGTCTTCAGTGTCACGCCGAAGATGTCCTCGTGGTAGCGGTTGTTGTCCTGTGAGTAGGAATAGAAACATAACCATGAATTTGATTCTCTTCTTTATAAACGCTACCCCGCATTTCATATATACAGATACTTTCAAGGTACAAAACCAGTGTTCATCAAACTGTTTTAGGGTTGTAGAGCTGTCCATGTATTAGCTGTATATCAGCAAAATTATCTTATAGTATATCCATCAGTCCAGGTATTAGATACATAGCAGGAAAATTCATTGTTTTGTACCTTCATGTTATTGATGAAGTCCTCTGCCCTGGCGGCAGACATCCCGCCATGCTTCACCAGGATTCGCTGAACGGTCTCGCAGACGTCAGTGGCCATGGTGACGTCACCACACACGTAGACATGTCCGCCCTCCCTCAGCACCAGGTCCAGCACCTTCCTGGGGATCCGCTCGCGAAGGATGTCTTGGACGTACGTCTTGTATAAAAATAGTAAAAAGAAAACAGCTTTACTCAATGGTGAAGTGAAAAATTCCTATTCTAATCCTTCTTGTTGGTAGCAGATCTATGGATAGTTCAGGCTTTGGGTAGGAAGTAGCTTCAGCAACAAATAGGGTGCCAATTTCTACCACCCAGGCTGACTGTCCAGTAAGTTGATGAGGACCAAGTCTTGATGCGTGAGTTTATTATTGGTTGTCACTCAACCGCGACGGGGGCCGACATCGTTTACCAGATATATTGACCCAGTGTTGACGTCACACTTCAGAGACGCCACGTGACAAGCCTCACTGGGTTAGTTTACTGAGGAAGACCAGAGTGACTGGTCGAAATTTCTAGATGAGAACCATTCTTTGTGTTGGATCGAAAGTTCTCGTTTTTCTCACATACCTTATTTGTCCCAGGTTCCCTGGACAGAGCCGTGTAGATGTCTGTCAGGGCTCCGTCTCTCCTAGCCTGGGCCGTCTCCTCCTTGTAGATGTGGTCCACCCTGGACTGTCTACAGCCAAACACCAGGGTCATGTCACCTGGAGGACGTCTGGAATTGGAACCTGTAAAAATGTGCAATCGCTGTTAAACACGGATTACTAACGGGTACTACAAGAGTCAGATGTTTCCCTATTGTGGTCTTCTTTAATATGTTGCTGAGAAGTAAGTAAACCAAACCGTTCGACATTCAGATCATCATAAAACAGATGGCACAAATGTCGTCTCCACCCCCTTACCAGCCTTGATGTCCACCTGTCTCTGCTGCCAGAAGCTCCTGAGAGGGGCGATGCCTGTCCCGGGTCCTACCATCAGGACAGGGAGGGAGGGGTCCTCAGGAAGGTGGAAATTCTTGGCCCTGGAAATGCATAGAAAGAATCGTATACGATGTGAATGGTAAATATCTTATATTTTGTTGTGCAATAAATGATGAAAGATTCCATTGATTTTTCTCTATCAAACTTTATTAACGCTTCAGGTTCGTACATGAATGATAGAGATATCTTACGTGCGAATGAAGCAAGGCACGGACTCGTTGGTTTTGACGTTGTTGAGCCAGTTAGAACACACACCGTTGTGCTCCGGACCCTTACCACCTAAAAAACATATTTGGTAAGTCATGTTTAGATATTAGACTATGTAATAGAGCAATTGTCATGAAGCCTTTGCTACTTCATTAGCAAATGAGACTGAAGACCTTTGCAGTAGTGTGGATCTGGCCCGGGTACATGTGTGGGGAGGAGCTGATGGTTAGTTATCATATCTAGACTCACCACGCGTCCTGTACTTGACCACGGCTACAGTAAGCGTGGATCTGGCCCGGGTACATGTGTGGGGAGGAGCTGATGGTTAGTTATCATATCTAGACTCACCACGCGTCCTGTACTTGATCACGGCTACAGTAGCGTGGATCTGGCCCGGGTACACGTGTGGGGAGGAGCCGATGGTTAGTGTATCATATCTAGACTCACCACGCGTCCTGTACTTGACCACGGCTACAGTAGCGTGGATCTGGCCCGGGTACATGTGTGGGGAGGAGCTGATGGAGTAGTAGCGCTGCTGCAGGACCGGCAGCTGACTGAGCAGCAGGGCGGGCGGAACCTGTAGGGACGGGTAGTCCTGCAGCAGCTCGGGCAGAGTCGGGGCCACCTCAAACTTCCAGTCCTCGTACTTGAGACCTCCCTGGAGCGGCAAAATCATGGAACCTTAAGCTTATCATTTATACAATTTCTGTCAGAACGTGTGTCCCTTGTACTCCTGATTAGTCCTGAAATATCTAAAAAATTTGAGACTCTGAAAAAATGAAAATGATACATATCTGAAATACCACCAGGCAAGCAAAAAGAACTATCGTGAACAGACTAACCTTGCCCAAAGCTTGGAGTTCCGCTCTCTCCCTGTTTGACGTCGCGTGCATCGCCAGGTACAGGAGCAGCTGGGGTGATGGCGGGGTGGTGACGTCAAGGTAACGTGATAGTGCCGTGCGCAAAGAACATGGCGGCAGCCGGTCGTGGGGCGTCCAGGTCTTGACCAAACCTTCCGAACAAAGAAATCGTGTCAGCATTTTTTTCCGATGCAAATGACGGTCAAAATACGAAATATGACTGATGTACACATTACTTACCAGCTGGAGACTTTTTCTCCTGTAGCGCTTCTATCTGAATGACGGCGTCGGGGTTTGTTCCCTTCTCCAGTCTGTCCAGAATCGCCTGCACAAGTCTGTCCTCATTGGCTGGAAAGACGGCCACGTGATCCCCGGGAACATACTTCAGCTCGTGAGCTCCGTGTGTCTCCAGCTGCACCAGGCAGGTCTGTCGGCTGGGAGGGGAGGGGGGCACAGTTACAGAAATGTATTCGCTGAACCTTGAAATATCTTATGAATGCCATATTTCTGTAGAATTTCTACAGCGTAAAAATACTCAGTGAAAATTAATGGCAGTTGTTGTATGGTAACATTTATCAGACTTTTTCTTTGTGTTTGCCCTACCTGGACTCCGGAGCTTGTAGCTGAGTTCTGGAGATGACTGTACTGGACACAACTGTCCTGCGATGCAGTTTGGACAGACCTGGCAATGATCCAGGGACATGGCATGTTAGAATACTAGTACACCCCATGCAGTTTTACCTAGTGTGTATCATATAAAGCTTGACTCAGGGCAATGTAGGAAACGCAAAGAAGTAATAAAAAACTGGATCTCACCCTCCAGGATGTCTGTCTCCGGCAGTCCCTTGGTCTGTACGATACGGAACTTCCCAGGCGCCCAGCTGAAGTCACTGCCGAGAAGGGACGCGTTCGCCTCCTCCATGTTGACGTCATGGCCGACGTCGTACCTCTCACATGCAGACTGTTTCAGAGTTGGGCTGTTTCATTACTTAGTAACTAGTCAGACATGTTCTATCAAACCTGGCTTACTTGTACATGACTTTACCAAATGCGTGATCCCGTATGCTGGAATACAGTAGTGTTGAGTAGACCATACTTCTCTTGTCAAAGGAAACTATCTAACGTCCAAGATCTTATAAAACGTGTACCTTGAAGGCACCCTTGACCCAGGCCCGGAAGGACTCTTCCTGTCCACACAGTTCGTCTCCTTCCCCCACAGGATGGATCCGTTCTGCTCCCAGCTCCTCAAACAGCGTGTCGATGGCGTGGCCGAAGGCGCAGAAATGTGGATAGGCTCGGGACCCGAGGGCAAACACACAGTATCTACAATCAAAAACATGGAAAGGTTGACTCTAACAAAAATGTTTCTTGTGCAGCATAAAACCAAGTTGTTTTAACGTTTAACATGTGGACATGTCAGAATCACCCAGAATATGGCGGTAGAAAATGATTGCTTATCTGATATGTCGATGCTGAGATCTGGGGGCTAATACCAGCAACACGCCATGCCTACCTGACTTTGCCGAGCGCCCCGCCGTCCCGCAGCTGCCGCAGCAGTTTCTGCTGACGCCGGTAGGAGGCCTTGGAGATGCTGCTTACTCTCCGCACACTGCCGCTGGAGGAAGTAAGTAAGTTGGCAAAACTTGGTATGTTCAAATAGTTGCTCATAACATTTATGGAAGCTTGTAATAAAATACCAGATCTCGAGAGGGTGAAAGGGTAAGAACAGACAATGGCTCGTGACATTAAGCAGAACTTACGATTTCTTTTTGCCATCATTTCCAGGTGGGTGCCTCATGTGGAGTAAAGCTTGACCAAAAGCCTAGATAAAAGATAGAAATTTCGTTAGTGTTGTGAATGAACAAGGAGAAATTGTTTAAGATGAATATACTCTTAAGATAGGAAATTGAAGAGCTCATGAAAGCCACTTTAAGATGGATTGAATTAACTCGAATGGGACAATCTGTCAGTCAGTCTGACCTCTCCGTTGTCCGGCGGATCTCCGTTCCCAAACGTACTGGTGACGACGATGACCAGTTCCTCCTTCTCCAGGTTCGTGATGTCGTACTCGTCCATACACATTATCTGTAGGAAGAACGGCGGGATGTTTTCAGTCATTTCAGTGCAGATAAACGTTATGCACTGCTGAGTTCCTGACAAACAAGTCACACGTGCTAAAACCATCTTTCAATAACTTCTAACACTTAAACTTTTCCTACCTTTGCGTCAAACGCGTGTTTGAAGATCCCGAGTGTAGACGTCGCGAAGGATTCCGACTTGCCGGTCTCTGTGGCGTACAGGATGGTGGTCTTCACCCGCTTGTGGAGAGCCTTCTTCATCAGCACGGCAGCAAACTTCACCGCCCTGATGGAACAACGGCAACGGGATACGGTGTTTAACACGCCTGTATGATGCTGAATTACAGTAACATACAATCTTCCTTACAAAAATATCATTTTTGTAGACGGAAATTTATGATCACAACAATCATCATTCATTCATCCAAAAGTAAATATACTACAAAGAACCAGGTTTCCTTCGCTTTGAGTTAGCAACAATAAGTAAAACTCACAGAGCCACTTCCTTCAGACGGTACTTCCTTTTGGGGTTTTCATCGTAGGCGAACTGCAGAAGGGTTGGGTGCTTCGGCTTCTTTCGCCAAAGGTGGACCAGCCAGGCGTCCTCCTAAAATAAAGAAAGAAAAAAAAGTAAGACTTTTACGCCCCTTTGTTACTCCAAGTTAAGGCTTCAATTTGTACAAACTATAGTGTCGCTGAAGTTGGTATTGTATTTGAAGAGACCATGTCTGAAACACATGTACAACTTACCTGATATTCGAAGGACGGTCTCACATGGTAGTTCGCCATCTCTTGATGGAAAACTTCGGTGAGAGACGCTGACATGGGGGGCACGATCCACACCCAGTCTGACGGGCAGCCTCCGCGCAGGCGCTGTTCGTTCTCCAGGTGTTTCATGAAACTCTCCGAGGCCGTGTGGTGATCCATGATCGTCGCGTTGCTGCGCTACAAACACGAGAAAAAAACAACTTTTGTAAGACAAATATACTTCTCTAAACCTCTAAAGAGATGTCGGTGAAGGTAATAAGATATGCCAAAAAACGGTTAATCGAGTAACTGTTCTTGGCGCTCTAAAGAGGCATTTTAGACATGGAATATTCAACATTACCATCGCTTGTCATGTTATCTTGCTTAACAAACTGCCTGTTCCTAAGAGAAATACCTCAGTGTGGAAATTCCTCATAAGTTTCCCTTATTATGATATTGCAGTGTTAGCACAACAATTTGCAGTACCTGGAAGCTGTGCAAGACGGCGATGTTCACCTCCACCAGAACGGCGTCTTTCCAGAGGGAGGAGTTTCTTGCGATGTCCAGGCCCATCCTCTTCCCTACTTCCTATTATCAGAAGAAATCATCGGTTTACCACAAGTAACCTGTACAGAAGACTTAAGCAGAAATTGTGAGTAGTAAAAATGACATCTACAAGGCCACCGCGAGATTTTTTTCTTCGTGACGGTTCCAAATGTACATATTGCTATGTTTACCAAAGGAAACATCTTTTGCTCTGTTTCTTATTCCTCTTCTCCAAACAAATAAAGTCAATGACCTGAACTAGACGTCTGTCACCATGGTAACTGGTGTTGGGTTACATCATGTTGCAATTTTATAGCAGAAGGGATTTAGACTCCTGTCTGACCATAAACCACAAACCACATGCGAAGGTAAACATTATTCATTTGCTTTAAACATGTTACCTTTCTAGTTTCCTTTTATTTTTTCTGTAAGATTTTGACTGTCAATGTAACGACTGTAATGAATTCATACTTCAGTGATGTTGAGCCTGTTGACGTCACACAGGTCCCTCCCCACCTCCGTCCCCATGTACCAGCCGCTGAAGGGAGCCGCTGTAAACTCCAGACCGCCACAGTCAAACAACATGTTGGACACGGCAGGGAGACAGTACCACTTAATACCCAACTCTTCAAACCAGTCGTACCTATGGAGGAAAGGACACTGTTAGTCAGAGAGACAGGGAGACAGTACCACTTAATACCCAACTCCTCAAACCAGTCGTACTTATGGAGGATAGGACACTGTTAGTCAGAGAGACAGGGAGACAGTACCACTTAATACCCAACTCCTCAAACCAGTCGTACCTATGGAGGATAGGACACTGTTAGTCAGAGAGACAGGGAGACAGTACCACTTAATACCCAACTCCTCAAACCAGTCGTACTTATGGAGGAAAGGACACTGTTAGTCAGAGAGACAGGGAGACAGTACCACTTAATACCCAACTCCTCAAACCAGTCGTACCTATGGGGGAAAGGACACTGTTAGTCAGAGGACCACATTGTTTTTAGTCAATATCTGAGCCTATAAGTCACTCGTAGTGCAAGAAAGCGCAAGAAATGGCAAGATTGCCCTAAAATTTACACTGACTTGGGATGTGTGATGTTGACCTCCATCACGATATCCTTGGGGATGTCGAACCACTCCGGGTCATCCCCGTTACAAGACAGAACCAGCGGCAGTATGTCGAACCGTGTGCCCGCCCCCTTCCAGCCCAGAGCCTGGCAGACCTGGAACAGACAAGAGGTACGTAAACATACATGCCTTGATCTGTAAAGCAAGCTGTACGACAGACTATTTTGACGTGACAGACATCAATGAGAAGGAGTGTGACAGCAGAAGGTCTAAGACATAAAAAGTTAGAACAGGAAAATTTTCCGTTCCTGCCTGACCTCTGTGAAGTCGAGGTTGATGGGATCGCCGAGGATGGACCCGTCAGGCAGCTGGTAGGCGGCATATTTCATGAACTGTCCGTTCCACACCTTGTAGTCATGACGGCCGTCCGTGCGTGGCGGGAAAACGGTGATGGCTGACCTGGGGTGTAGGTAAGTATAACTGATAAATAGTGACACTAAACGTGACGGGCAACATTCACTATTTCTACGGCATGTATATCTTTGAGCACAGGAGAAAGAAAACCACAAGAACTAAATGGCTCGTCGAGTTCTCCGAGTCGTGTACCTGATATTCCCGCCGTTGGTGCACCATTTGATGTGCCTACAGATCGCCTCGAACATCCCTCGGGCTGTCGTGACGTCACGGGCGTCGAACAGCTTCGAAAAATACAAACATCAAAATCATCATCATCGTGAAGTATACTCTGACATGTTAGGATTTGACTGCAAATTGATCACTGAGGGATTATTTGACAGGAGAAAAAGGTCTATGAAACTTCATCACCTGTAATTTGGACCACTGGATACGTCCGATGCATCTTGGCGCGTTCCTCCACGACATCTTGGCGCCATAGACCAGCTCTTCGTACGTCAGGTGATACACGCCCTTCTCCTCTACCTGTACCTGGACGTCCCTCCAACGTCTGTCACGGTCAGCAACGTCAGACCTGGTGTAGGTAAGATAGTCACAAGCTGACGTTGGTAAACGCTGAACAAATCAACCATCAAAAAGTACTTGAGCCAGACAATACAGCATTGTAAAAAGATATCAACAACACAAACCTCTTCAGGGAGGCATAATATTCGAAGATGAACTTCTTTGCCTGTTCGAGGACTTCTTCCTTCGGTCGGAAGTACCCGGGTGCCGTGTACGGTCGCGGTCGCATCAGCGGGCCGAGACATCTGCCGTCAGAGCACGGGTTCAGCTGGAAGAGAAAGATACGTTTATAACAAAATGGCTTGAGCAGTGTGAGTAGGAGTTACTTGCATTGTATGCTACAATTCTATTGTAAAACGCTGATATATACTAGACATCTTACTTGAAAAGAATACAATCGGTAACATAATCATTTCTATGTAGCCCGTGCGGTGCACACGTGAACAGATAACAATGAGTGGCACATACGTCGTTTGCTTTCGTGTGGAGGGTGTCGTGGATTCTCCTCTCGCTCAGCCAGTTCTTCAGCCGCGCCGGCCGCCTCCTGGTGTTTGCCGGTCCCACCGTGGCTGCCCTGTGCCCGGTGACCGGACAGCCGTTCGCCACCGTGCCGTTCGGGATGCTCTTGATCACGCCCCCATTCACCACACCTCGGTTGGAGAGTGGGAGGTCGCCCCGGTTCTCCAGTTTGCGAATGGCTCTCTTGTCAAAGGTGTTGCCTCTCATGCGCTGTATGAGGAGTGTGAGAGCGCCGATGGGCCCGCTCGGCCTGGTGACCCGCACGGTTTTGATCTGACCGGTGCTCAGACGGACGGTTTCCAGGTAGGTGTGGAACCACTTCGGTCCGCGGAGGACAAGTTCCAGCGGCTTGCCCGGCTCGATGTCTCTGATGACCTGGGTCGCCTCCTGGTACGACAGGCTCTCGATGTCCTGCCCGTTTACAGCGACGATGGTGTCCCCTGGCTGGACCATCCCGGTCTGGTCAGCAGGACCGCCTCGGATCACCTCCTCGATGACCACGGCAGATTGACCGGCTGCCGCCCGTCGCTTCGCGGACACTCCCAGGCCATCGACCTCCCTCTTGACCAGCTCGACCACGATGATGTTCGGTTGATCCTCCATGGTTCACGGACTATCTGGAGTGTGTTGAAGCTAGAAGGCAAAAATCGACATAGCACCAATTTGTACTCAGCGGTAATTTAAGCTTGAATGCATCTTATATGTGTCTATGTCGAATTGAAGAATACATGGTCATGAAAAGGAGAGTAAAACTTCCCATCGAATCGCTAAACATGTAGTATGTATACAGCTACATGTTGTTACTGGTACTGGTAATGACGAACACCCTTTCTAGACACATTTCTATCGGTGTTAACCCCGAACCTTTCCTTGTATTTTTTAAATCTTGTCCTCGGTCAGTTTTTTTTTCCAGAAAAAGCCCTGACTGGCATGTAGATTCATGGTAATACTTACAACTTATGCCTTTATGCCTTTGTGGTATTTTTTTCTGACACATTGTGCAAAAGTCATTAATTTTTTACCCCTCTCTCACAACCTTTCTCCCTATGTTTAACCTAGTACAACCGCACGGTGGTACGAAAAGCCCTATGTTTGGCACGTTTTGCTATGAGCAGCTCGTGATTATGCCTGCTCAAAGGTCGATCAGTGTCCTCAGTAAGGTGTAACGGCCACACACTTCCCGTGTCAGGTTTGAATGGCTTCAACTCGGTCGGGGCAAGGCAAGAACTATGTATGGATAACTTTCCGGAAAGCAGCCAACAGAGGTACTACAATGTTTCTGTCCAAAGAAATATGTCCTGTTCTCATATGTCCTGGCACCTGCAGCACAAGAGGCACAGGGGTAAGCAACACCTTATAGTACTGACACTAGGTATTATCTTAACACATGTACATGTATATAGAGATCGAAACTGGAAGACTATAGATCCTTGTATACCGCGCACTGCACGAATGTGTCTGACTAGCCTGGGTGCCATGCAATTTACTAACGGGTCTCTCAAAGCTACCATCTTCAGTTCTCGGACCGAAGTACGTTTTCACCACCTGAATCATCTGCTGGAAGTGCTTAAAGTTTGTCAGACCAATTGCAAATTGCAACGGGACAGGGCAATAGTGGAGGCAGTATGTCTCTGAGTCTAACTGAGCCCATAGCAAATTGAATGGGACCCAGGCTATCCGCTGACGTGAAGTTACAAAGAACCGGGATGAACCACGTTTGAGACTATCTTATCACCGCAAAAGCGCCATCTACATCGGCTACATCGGCGAGAAGCAGCACTCCAGTCAGTCTGAGAGACACTTAAAACGTCAGCACTCTAGGTGAGATAATTGGTTTTGTAGATAAGAACTCTCGTATCCTATACTTTACCAACCTGATGAAACTATTTTCGGAAGTTACAACAGAATTTTCTGTTGAAATAGGAAATGGAAACTAGTATGGATGATTCTTCTTGTATATGGAAAGGGCTGTGGTAAACCCTTAGTAATTCTCAGGCGAGACCGCGGATGCAGCACGGTGACGCGGCGGACCAACATGTGACCGGGCCTGCCAGGGTTGGTCGCTAATAAGTACCTACCGAGCAAGAAAAAAAAGTAAAACATAGCCACAATGTTTTGGTAGCATGTAGAGTAATATTCAGCCGTAGGATATATGCGATTATACCCTGTGTAAGACACCAGACCACCCTGTAGTGCCGGTCCCCTAGCCTGGGGCGAACTGGTCTTAAATAAGTGGGGCGAAAGTAACGGGGCGAATCGACCTGACACACGTACTCAAGCGTACCAGAGGTCGCGATCGTTCAATGGTAGCAGGAAGTTTTCGGGTTGCTTCGCGGGGCCAGTACGGTTAACCAACCTTAGTATATTGATCGATGTTTGCCTAGGTTGGTAAAACCCACGTGCCTGGCGGCTCACGCACCATCACGTAACGTTATTTGCTTAGTTGTAAGTCAAACAATTGCTCCCGGAGTCCGTAGCCACCGAGACAAAGTTGCGCACTTAAATTAACTCTAACGGGCGCTAAACTAAGTACTTGTCGATTATGATGAGAAACGGGGCCGATCTAGAGTAACAATCTTCAGTTTACATTATATTCTAGTTAAGAAAAAAGGGCAAGAGTAACAAGGACATCTGAAGGATTATTTGTAAGGAAAATCCAATTCTTGTACATTGTATAAAGGAGACCAGACTACTCGTAAGACCAGTTGGGACAAGACAGGTGTCAAAAGAGAACCCTCAGTCCTTAATCTCCCTATTGTCTTCCAACCGAGCCTGTCTAATCGCAACCCTAATATGGTGTAACTGCAAATTAAAAACACAACAAAACACACAATACGTTGAAAAATAGTCATGAGCATAATCTGCGTATGTTCTTGATATACATCTTTTACGTACGCTCATGCAAGCACCCCGGTCGGGCCCTAGTTTTGAAATGTGACCCTAGCGTTATCCAGCATATGTTTTGTGATATGTAAAAAGAGATGTTACTTGTACAAAAACAACTTCACAATACGCACAAACGCTCACGTTTCGTTACTAGTGTATTTCCTACCTCGTCCAATCAACCTCTGAAACTCATATTCGCATCGGCCATGACCCGACAAATTGTTTCCTAGTTCACCCAAATGGTGTGTGTTACTGTTGGTGTGTTACGCCGAAAGGCGGTTATACCGGCTATATACAGATACAGAAGCTGGTGTGTTACGCCGAAAGGCAGTTATACCGGCTATACAGATACAGAAAATCGGTGTGAGTGGTTCATACCTTACAGTCCGGTCTTACGCAGCTTGTACATGTACGTACATGTACAAAACTGGTGTGTTACGCCTAAAGGCGGTTTACAGGTTATGCGAAACAAACAAACAAACAAGCAAACAAAGAAATCACTAGCCTGGGTGCAATTCTCCGTAGTTTTCGCCCGCTCCGGATCCCTAATGTACAGCGACATTAGGGAGCGGGCGAAAACTACGGAGGGTGGCACCTAGGCTACCAAATCACAACATATGGCAAAGAAAATCCTACTAATTCCAAGTGGGAGGATGTCAGCTTTAAATTGAGTCAGCTCGGGATTGAAACGATCTAAGCGCGCGGCTATAGCTAACTGTAACTGCCGCCATTAAAGACATTCAACGCAATTTCAGGCTGGCAAAACTGGATTTTCAGAGTCAATTTTCTGGTTATTCTTTTAATGCATTAAGTTGAAAACAGATGCTTGCTTATGAAATGATAACGAAAATATGCTAAGAAACGGCAGCAAATGTCAATACATGTATAAGACGGATTTTATCATCCAGAATATTTTTGTTTGTTTTGGCACTCTGAAATTGCATTGATGCCATTTTGAAAAAGCATAACGAATACCCTCCATCTAAAACTGTGGTATACAGCGACACGATAAACATGTAATTGTTTCACCTTTACGAAGTCGAAGCAGTCAGCTCATCTATGATCATCCCGAGGCGCCCTCTTCTTCACACTAAGTCGCAAACGCAACCACCTGTTCGATTTTGTTTTCATAGACGGATTCGAAAGTGATCGGCATAAATTACGTCGCCTTGCCAACTGCGGAGAAAGAATTACATCACGCTTCTAGTAGCAGCTCTTCCATTGGTCAGACGCCTGGTGAGGACTCGGGCTAGGAGAGCTGTGATTAGCCCGTCTCCTGGAGACACAGCCCAATCCCCGCCCACAATGTTATGCGTCAGAGCTCCAAGACTGTTTAAGCAGAGGTTTTCTAGGCTTCGCATCGGCATATATAATGTAATTTTATTGATTTTTTATGGGTGGCGAATCGGTAACTGCCCTGCCAACTAATTGGAAAAAAATAATGCGCAACCTAGCTAAATTTCCACATGAAAAAGTACTTTGATTTTGCCAACCAACAGTACAGTGTGATAGAGCAATAGGGCAGAATGTCTTAAACTGACGAGCAAAGATCGAGCAAATACATAATACATGCCCCCATTCTGCCAATGCCATTAAACAACAGGTACCGCGACCAGAGGACAGATAATCAAGATGCCTTTTAGGTAATATAGCCACTAAACATCGCAATAGCTGATCTAAATAGTAGCATCCAAAAAAAGCTTATCACAAACTCGTATGTAGAATGTAGGACAATCATCCATTCACTTGAATTGTGATAGCATACACATATTCTGTATAAATCTATTCATGCATATAACATGCACCGATGAGACCGATGACAACAAGCATGATGCAGTTTGTCACAATTAAGCCGCACCGTCAAATTCCAAGCGCATAACCAGGCCTCGAAATTAACTTTTCTTCCTATTGTCCCAGCAGTCCCAAAAATAGATTCCAATTGTCCCGAAGTGAGGATGAACTGTCCCAACCTGTTTTGGGAAGTATGTATGACATCAACTTGAAGTCAACTTTATTTTGCTTATGTTCACTCCCAGGCGCACTGTATAATTGCAGAGTAGTCAGGAAATTCGGGGCGAATTTTCCAGATCCAAAAGCCGGGATAAGTGCCTGATAAACAAAAGAAGGGCTGCATTCTGAAGTTGATTATCATTCAATTGTCCCCAAAATGTCCCCAAATGTCTTTTTAGTTGTCCCATCCCGAATTTTAGTGGTCAGTTGGCATTGGACCACCTTTAATTTCGAGCCCAGCATTTCGTTCCCATGCCTATGTTTGGAATTAGACCTCAAATTGGACTGCCCTTTTTTTCACCCACCATGCATTGATTTGAAAACGATCGACGTGATTTCTAAATCTAAGAAAAGAGCACCTGCTTTATTTCGCACGGGATACTAAGAAGAGAGTCCGACCCTTGGTCCGATTTTCTCAGAAGTACGTCCCATATTTGGTTAAAACTGGAAGCAACAGCCTTTCTGCAACTCTCGGTCGCGATCAATCAATATATTATATAATATTAGTCGTTCCAGTTTTTATCATGCTACTTGCTCGCAATATTGTTCGCTACTAGTTTAGTAGCAGGAGGTAAATGCCATTACCTGATCCGAGTACTTGCTAAAATAAGTGTCTTCAGCCCAACTGGAAAAAAATCCAATCAAACCCCCACAAATTACCATCCCCATGCACAAATCCACCTAAAACAAGCTACTGCAAAATTCGAACAAAAATGCTGAACGTCCCAAAAATTCACATCTTCACTTTTCCTAAACGGGACGATATTGTGTTCACAACAAAAGACATGAAGTTCAACCCACATGCCCCGACACACAACAAACAAACAACCAACATCCATTTATAACTTGTTTACATGCAAATATACAAACACACCATTTTTCATAACCTGTTCAGGGAGGTCTAAACATATGCAAGGGCATACATAATGTCCTTGGCATATACTACTGGATCTAGGGACTATTTCTGCAGTGCCCGGGGCACCATAATACGGCTTAAAAGTCATAATACGGCACAGAGTAGAGTTACGACAAGAAACAAGCCCCAAAGTCCCCATTTACTATTACCACCTGCTGCATGGGGTCGTGTGGCGCAGCGGCAGAGTACTCGACTCGGAACCCAGAGGTCCCGGGTTCGTGTCCTGACATGCCACCGATCTTGTGCCCTTGGGAAAGGCACTTTATAACGACTTTCCTCACTTAACTCAAATAAAAATAAGTATTGTTTCGTATGTGTCCTCTACGTTGGTATAAAATAACTTGATATAACTTGAGTGTGTCGTCACCATGTCCATGAAATGTTGAAATAAAAAAAAAGGAAAAAAAGAAAGTCTACACAAGCAATCGCCATGACGTCACGGACAGCGAGTGGTCGGCAAAAAGCGGGCGGTGGCTGGCTGATTTTTCATACTAATAATAATTTGCATTTGTCTACCAATACTTTGCATGTACACAAAAACAACGATCGCTCGTATTTCCTGTACGTCTGGTGTAGAAAAACTTACAAATCTTTATATTTTGTTGTTAAATATCACATTAAAACCCCTGTGATATTAACATGACCATATCCAAATGAGGCGAGCCAGACAATTCAAGATATGAAAAAATGCTATATACATTATGCACATAACAAACAAACAAACAAACAAACAAACGAACGAACCCCACAAGCAACTAGCTACCAGTTTAGTGGTCAGACTTTTAATAGCAACCACAAAAATCCACCCGTATCTGGGCGTCACATTGACAAGCGGTCTGAAGTGGGGTGCAGAAGTTAACAATATCACAACTAAGGTTAAGCAGACATTGGGAGTGATCAAACTTAATCTGTGGACATTCCTAACTAGAGTAAAAACACATGCATACACGTCGTTTGTAAGACTGAACCTTGAATATGCCGCGACAGTATGGGATTCATATACAAATGGACACAAAGATAAACTAGTAGAAAGGGTACAGAATCAAGCTGTAAGATTCTGCACGAACAACTATGAAAGGGGTGCTAGTGTGACGGAAATGAAAAGAGACCTACAATGCGTGTCACTGGAAGACAGACGAAAAATGTCCAGACTATGCATGATGTACAAAATGACTAATTAACTGGTGGACGTACCAACTACTAAGTACCTAACACCAGCTCAGAAAAGAACAAGAAATAGTCATGCCTTCAAATACCAGAGTTATCAACCAAGGATTGAGGTGTTCAAAAACTTATTCTTTTATAGAACTATCGCAGAGTGAAACTCGCTGTCACAGTCGGTATAACCACCATTCGGCGTAACACACCAGCTTCGCAGGCACGCGGCGCGGCGGCAGCTGGCTACACTACACCGAACGACTTGTTACACCTAACCCTTGGACATCTAACTCTAAACATTGTTTAAAGCGATCTAATGATAATACCCTACTGTATATATACTTGGTGACAGTGAGTTCCACTCTGCTATCATAGTTCTAGGAAAGAATGAGTTTTTGAACACCTCAATCCTTGGTTAATAACTCTGGTACTTGAAGGCATGACTATTTCTTGTTCTCTTCTGAGCTGATAATGTCGCTGGCTACCACAGCGATATAGCTTATAGGGAGATAGATAAT